GCAACATAGACGGATGTATATACAAGAATTCTCTAAGCTTAAGCTGCCGAAAACAATATATATATAAGAAAAAGATATGGTAGACCTTCATCGATTCCATCCTTCTCCCAGCATATATCCAGATAGCGCAAAGCCTTGCGGTACTTTCTGAGAGCCGTCTTGTAGTCTTGTTTCTGAGGACAATGTTGTATCGAAATGGGTAAAATATATATAACGAAAACAGGTAATTAAAACAGTGAGGAATATTACTTTGAAGTGTTCATTTCCCCGTGCCTTGGTAGAATCCACAGCCTCCATCCACCATGATAACTCTGCTGGGCTTTCGTTTAGATCAGCAGGCCAATCAGGGTACACGTCACCGTCTTTAAAAAAGTTTGATATCCCATCATCTGCACCCTCGGAAATTTCCCCAGAGTCTTGAATCACAACATCCTGAGAGGGGCATTCCCTCTCGTCTGTAGTAACATGCTCAATTGCACGAACAACTCCCATTCCTTTGATAACCCTTCCAAACACGACATGTTTTCCATCCAGGTGAGAAGTACGGGTTGTTGTAATGAAAAACTGAGACCCGTTCGTGTTGGGCCCAGCATTGGCCATAGAGAGCATCCCCTTCCTCTCGTGTTTCAGTTCAAAGTTCTCGTCTTCAAATTTCAAGCCATAGATAGATTCACCTCCAGTACCATCCTGTGCTGATATATCTCCACCTTGAACCATAAACCCCTTGATAACACGATGAAATCGGTTCCCCTGCAATAATAGCAAAAGTCCTATTAACTGGTAAGTTCTATCTAAAAAGCAAAAGATATTAGAGGCAATAAAGTGGAAGTCTAGAACTACCTCATCAGCAAAATAACTACCACCATAAGCTTTCTAAATGTCATTTATCAACTATGCTTCCATAGTTTCCCTCTCTTTCAATTCAATATCATCTCCTACATCGAATCCTGAACATGTTCACCCACACATGGACCGATTACTTAGGCTTTTCAATAGGATGGGCTCCAATAAGATATCTCCAATGTATCAGATATCTCAAACAAATATAGACAATAATAAGCGCAATTTACCACTAACTTACAAAGTGATAGATACCGGATAACCATTACATCATGAACTAAAAGTAAAAGGACACATAACTAATGCAGAGTATACAAGATTATCTACTAAACCTCCAAAATCAATGGCAAGACTCAGCTCATGTGATAACCCATTACAGAGTTATATACTGCAACCCTAACCAGAGCTAAGATTCTAAGAAACGAACCCAGATATGATCGACCCATTAAGCCACTAACCCTAAATCACAGGAAAATCAGGAACTCATTTTCACATTCGAAGCAATGCAACCAAATCAGAGACACGTGTGTATATGCGTGTGTAGACATTGATTGATATGACAGGGAAGGACCTTATAGTGAAGAGGAACGCCGGTGTCGGGGCCAATGCCCTTCTCGCCGGTGCAAAGGGCTCGGAAGTTCTCGGCGGTCTTCGGAACGACGTCGTCGTAGAGCTCCACCACTATTCTCCCTTCAAGCTCACCTCCAATGGCGATGTCCATGAAGCACCTTGACCTACCCATCTTCTCTCTCACTGCGACTATCTCGATTCTCTCTCTGTAAGCAAATGCGTGTGTATATATGCATATCTATAGGGAGAATTCGAAGAGACGATAACGCGCGCGCGCACACGCAGGGCACGAGTGAGGAGTGAGAAAACCCTAGGTCCCATCTCTAATTAATTTCGGTTTTTTCGTGAAAAAATATTTAAATTTTTTTTATCACGTAAACAACAAACACATTCGCTAAAAATGAAATAAATATTAACAATAATGATCTATAATTTAAAGTTGTACGAAAAATTTTCTAATTAATTAAGTTCGTTTTTTATAATCATTCAGATATAAAAATAAAACATACCATTATTGTTAATTGTTCTCCAGTTTTTTTTATTTGAATATATTGATAGCTTAACCATTGGATGTTCCTGTCTCATTGGATAATTTAGTCTATTCGTAATCATTATAAAATTGGCATATGTGACTGTATCAATGAGAATTGCCATTTATGGGAATAATAGAAGTTTTAAAAAATGGCTAAGACATTTTCTGTGTATAAATATTTTTATTATCATGTTTTTTATTCTATAAAAACAAAACTTGTGCCGTTTTAATGTGTTCATTTTTTCTTTGTAAAATTAACTAAATAAGTCAATTGATCTTGTAATTTCATTGCTTGACTTTCACAAGAACTGTGAATTGAAAGCGGTCTATGTGGAAATTTTAAAAATTCATTGAATTTAACTAAACATATATATATATATATATATTATTCTTTAGGATTTACGGATTTAGGGTATAGATGTCAAATTGTATTGGGTTTGATGGGTTAATCCAATCCAATCCAATTATTTTTGTATTTGGATTACTATTTTTTGTTAAAAATATTTTATGAGTGGTTAACCCAAATAACTCATTAAAACATTCTGTTCTTTATTCTCCATTATAATTAGATATGATTATTCAATTCGGTTATTTTATTATTAACCAAATCGAACCAAATAACAGATTGATTATGAATTCATAAATTTAAAATAACGGAACTCGAACCGAAACGAACTAAATCGATTCAAATTTAATAAATATTTGATTATAAATTCTCAAAATCCGAAATAGTCGGATCCAAGTAGAACCAAACCGGTTCGAATTACTCGATTCAGATTCGCTTAGGATTGTAAAAACTCATTTTTCAAAAAATATTTCAGATTTTTTGTTTATTTATTACTTGATTCGGTTCGGATTCGTTTTCGGTTCGACTTGATTCGATTGGATTCAAATTCATTTCGATTCGATTGGATTCGGTTTGGTTCATTTATGTATGATTTCGGATTCAATTTAATTCGGTTCGTATTCGTTTTGGTTCGGATTCGCTATGAATTCAAATTCAGTTTGGTTCGTTTCGAATTCGGTACAAACCGAATTCGATTTGTACTAAAATTTATATACTTTTTATAAATAAAAAAACTATTTTGAAAATTTTAGAATATGTAATGTTAGTATAGAAAATGAAGTTTTCGTATCTAATTTTAATATTTTCTCATCAATTTTTAGAAAATTTAAAATTCTATATTATATTTTTTATTTTAAAATATTTAATTTTCGTTAATAAAATGAATATTCCACGGATTTAATTTAATTATTTTATATTCAATTTTTTATTTATACATATATATATATATAATTCGATTTTTAATTAATTAAACTAAAATAGATTATTTGGGTTTTATGAGTTAAACTCAACCCATTAAATTATTATTGTTAGATTGGTCCAATCCAACTTATTAATTAAACTAAACTAATTAGATTATATTTTAATGGGTTGGTTAATCCAAACTTGACCTGATCACTAATTTTGGGAAGAATAAGAAAGTGTATATATATATATATGTGTATAATCAAATTAGAATAATATATGCTATTCGTAACATCATTTTAGATATCGAAAGCACAGTTGCGCCCATCAATATCTATGGGACATATAACCTATTTGCAATAGTAAGGGTCTTCATTTCATTAATACTTATAAATTTGTCCTAAAGATTAACATAGCATTATCATTCTCCTAAACAATAGTATTCAATATAGCGTTACTATTTATGCGTGCAATATAGTAATTTCAACCACAATGCCCACCTCTACACTCGTACACATACTCCATTATATGTGTGTGCCATTTTAGACGATAGTAAGTGTCTTCATATATATATATATATATTTGATAATTTGAAAATTTACTAGATATTTAGCCCAATTATATCTTTTAAAAAATCAGAAAAATCTGAGTGAATATTTCTACACAAGTAAAAATTCGAATCGAGGTTGGAATTTTTTACTCCATCCCTTACCATTTGATTCACCCAAATTTGGATTCTATATATATATATAAAAGTTTTTTGTTAGTGACATTAGATGAAAAACATTATATATACACACACAGTATATATGCATATATATGCGTATGACGGTGTGTACACACATTGTCTGTAGTTACTATAACATGAATCGGAATGATTGTTGCGGCATGACCAATCTGTCCGCCCAATAATTGGTGTGTATGTGTGTGTATATATATATATATATATATGTATGAGAGGGAGAGAGATGCACTATAGTAATTTGAACAAATAAACTAATAACCGTATATACCCAGTAAGTAGTGGACAAGTGGTTGGAAGGTTGTTGCTCTCGGAGTTCCGGTCACCGGTTCGAATCCAGCTGCCGGGGAGGGAGGGGTGCATTTAGGGTGTTACTCTTTGGACCTTTAGATGTACTCTAAAGACTGCTCCAGAGCTGGGAGATGTAGTCGGATCGAAGGCACGGAGAACTTCCTAATTAATAAAAAAACTAATAACCGTATATATATATATGAGATAATTCTATTAAAAACTCTGTATAATTGCAATTCGTAATATTTATAATAATATCTAATTTTAATCTAATAAGAATATTATATTTTTATGCGTAGTTTTCATAATATATCTCAAACTGGAACTTATATATAAAAAATGTGGTGCATTTTGACGAAGATATATGAGATTATACAGACCTTTATATATAAAAAACGATATATTATGAGATTTGCGGCTATCTGTGTGTATAGAAAACATCATTTTTATGAGTGTGTGATTCGTCGTAATAAAAATAATATATTTCTGTTTGCTAATTAATTAAACAATGGGGTGTTTTACAATATGTAAAATATAATGGGTTTTAATATATATATATATATATATATGGTTATCACAAAACACATATATAACGTCTCAAGGAAGTAAGAGAATTAAATAAAGTCTTGTACGTATCTTGCCTCGTTGCAACACTTGTAGCGGTGGTCCGTTGAATAATGTGTTCATTTCTAGATTCACGTTTATAACACGTTTCTTAATTTTATGATCAAAGGTCCATTTGGATCTTGCGTTTTTTAATATGCACGAATTTTCCTATGTCTATTTCCCCACATTTTATTGCGCCTCATAATTCAACAACAAAAACAGCTAGGTCATATCAATTTTATTTTATAAAATAATTTCATTTCTGTTATGTTCATATAAATTCATTTAAATAAATAATAGCAGTGATTCGATACTACTCAGACCTATCTATATCCGTATACCATGTATAATCTATTCTACGCATATTTATATATTACTAATATATGTAATATGTATGCATTTCTCCAATTAGGGGGAATATTAATCTAAATTTTTACGCTTTTTTTGAGAGATATTATTGGATAAAAAATATGATAAAATTTTAAATTATTTAAAAAATATAGCGTATGTATTTATATATATACATATAATATTATTATATTTGTTATTCTTATCAGTCAAATATATATAAAACTAGGTTTTAATTATTCAAACCCTAGATAGATATTATGATTTTATCCAAACACACGCTCTTTGGATTTCGTTATTTCGATCATCATCATGAGAAACCCGGGTTTTATATATTCAAAGGCCAAATTAAAAAAAAAAGGAGTTTGTTTAAATATCTTTTCTTTTTATGATAAAAAATCATTCACTTTATTTACATACGAGATCTACAGGTTACTGAAATCGACCCCATTATACACACACACACATATATATATATATATATATGTATGTATATATATACACGCACACATACACAGAACACACACGTACTCTTTTTAGAGTTTGTGGATAATTATCTGAACAAGAACTGAAGGACATCATCCAAAACACAGAGAGAGAGAGAGAGAGAGAGAGAGATCTAGAGAGATGGTGATAAAGAGAATAGAATTCTGCATAGAGCTTCTGAAGATAGCGATGGAGTTCGTGGTGGTCGTGGCGGAGGCCATCGGAATCGTCCTTCAGCAGCATATCAGCAACCTTCCGCCGCCGTCGCCTCCGCCGCCGTTCCTCCGCCGTGGCCCTTACTCTTACTCCGCCGCCGCAGCAGCTCCTTCCTTTCCTTCCCCTTTCGTCATCGGCTTTCTTCCCTGAATTTTGTATATCCCTTTTTTGCCTTCTTCTGGGGCAATCCCTACATCTCTTATATCATCTAAAGTTTCGATCTTTAGATTGCCCATTTCGTAGTTATAGATGTAATTGCTGTGAATTAATTCTTCTTCTGTCCATTTTCTTCAGAAATCTACACACACACACACACACACATATATATATATATATGACATATCTTCTGTTTCGTATCTTTTGCGTTTGAATTCCACGAAAGCAGCAATCATCTTTTTCCTTTTTCCATGTTGATTTGTTTATATTTATATGTAATTGTTGTTAATTAATTCTTCTCCTATCCATTTTCTTCAGAAATTTATATGTGTATGCATATATATAGACGACATATCTTTTGTGTTTGAATTTCACGAAAGCAATCATCTTTTTTTTTTTTTCATGTTGATTTGTTTATATTTTTTTGAGAAAAATTTAACAAAAAAAAAAATAGGAAAATGGTTTGAAGACATTCGCCATGATTGGTCCCCCATTGGACAACTGTGTTATCTAAGGGGAGATGATGTTTTCAGGTGAAGTCAAATCAAATCAAGTCATTTTCTTCTTTAATTTTTTTAATTAAACGAGTAATTTAATCCGTAATTAATACCCTTTTAAACCATGATTAGTCCTAATCTTTTTTTTTTCCCCACCAACAACAAGTGTGTTCCTTGTTCTGTTCAGAGGCGAGAGGACCACATTGTGAACCCTGAACCCATTGTATGGGTAGTTGAATCTCCTCTAGTATTTTGTCATTTTTTTTTTCTTAAATAAACAAAACTATTTTGGCAGCAATGAAAATAACAAAATTTATATTTACCAAAGAAACGAAAATAACAAAATTCTTTTTAAATCATTCGAATTCGAATGTGAAAGATAACTCTATAACACGATTGAACATGAAAAAGATATGAATTTATATTTCCTCCACTTGTATTTACATTTTAAATCTTTTTCATTTTTAAGAAAATATATAAAAAAGTCACATATTCCTTTATTAAATAGTCAAAATATAATTAATATTCATTAAATTTTAATATTTATTTGAATTAGGTATTTTTAGTTAAGGATAAAATTAAAAATTATTTTAAAATTACTTAAAAAATCTAAAATGATATCTATTTGGTGACGAAAATTATTGTCTATCATGTCAATTATTAGGAAACAAAGAGAGTATTCTATTTTTATAAAACACTAAATTCATATTGCATTACCTAATTATCCCTAATAATATATCCATAAAGACGTTTAGAATTACTCATTTTTGTAACTAATTCAATTTGTAAATTCGCAAAAAGTTCGGATTCGTATTTTAATCATAAAACAAAAAATAATACGCCTTTGAATTTGAGGTTCAGTTATTTTAATAAATTTTAATGGATAATGGAGAATAGAGATTAGGTTCGATATAATTATCCAAACATTTTATGGGCATCCGAAATCTACCAAGACGAAATCCAATTCCAATATATTGAAATTCGAACAAAATCTTTCGAATTTAATTAATTCTAAAATCTCACACGAATTTCAACCTTGCGAGATAGTTAAAATAAAAAATATTGAAATTCATGAACCACAAACAATAAAAAAGGAAATTAAATTTAATAGAGACGATTAAAATGCATCACCATTAAATAAGATATCCCCTCCTTTTCATAATAATTAACGGTAGGGGTGGCCAATTCAGATTTCGGTTCGGGTTTGGTTCGGTTATATTCGGATTCGCTTATTTCGGTTATAAAAAATTATAACCAATCGGTTTTTATATAAACTTCGGTTCGGTTTAGTTTGGTTATTTTTTGGTTCGATTTCGGTAAAAAATTCATTTTTTCAAAGAAATTGTCGATTTTTTTCTCGGTTTTTTGGTTATTTTTTATTCGGTTCGGTTTCGGTTTTTTTGGATTTAAAAAAATCATAACCGTTCAGTTTTGATGTCGGGTTCGGTTCGGTTCGGCTCGGTTTGGTTATTCGGTTAATGACCGAAATGACCATTCTAATTGACGGTTCAACTTTTCATTAAGTTTATTAGAATTGGTTAGTTTTATTTAAAGATAAAATTAGAAATTATTTTAAAAAATTACCTATTTTTTTTTAAAATGACATCTATTTAGAAATATTTTTTTTTGTCCATAATGTCAACTCTTAAAAAACGGAGAGAGTGTAATAATATCAAAACTATCCAAATGTGAAAATTATATCTCACGCATGCCTAAAAACATAGGCGATAGGGGAAATCCCTAGGTGAGTTGGCAATGAGCATGGTCAACGTACCGAGAGGTTGAGGGTTCGATTCCTTATCCCCTCATCTATCGCCTGTCAGTTACGGTTGATTTACCTTCCACACGTGTGTTGCAGACTCGTGTATGTGGGCTTGAGTTTACTCGTCAGTGTGCCCGAAGAGTAGTAGTTGGGTTCCCAATGTATAAAAAAAACATAGGCGATAATGATCATGGGCGGACCCAATTGGAGAAGAATGGGGGCATATGCCCCCATTGGTTTGATTAAAAAATTATAATTCCTTTATGAAATTGATCACATTTTAACCAAATTTTATAAATGTTTCCATTGTAAATTATATTTATCACATACTAAATTTAATTTTGCCCCCACTTAGAATTTGTTCTAGGTCCGCTACTGATAATGATAACAAATACTAGTGAGAGAAGTGGTCATGACTTAATATTCAAAGCTTTATCCTTTGTTTGCACTATGTATAAATAATTCAATTGTTTAAAATATATCAAATAAATATTTAAAATTTTAATTTGATATAATTGATATCATAAATATTAAAATATTCAAAATTCATAGACCAAATGTTAAAATATACCTAAATTGATATCAAACTCATGAAATGGATATCAATTCCCAATTTTTTTATTTATGATATATGAATAATTTATACGAACAAAATCTCAAAAATAGCGTTGAACATTTTTAAATAATGACTTGTGTTACCGTAATATATATTCACAACAATTTGTAAAAATTATTTAATAATTCTTTCTATTTGATGACTAAAAATGAAAAATTATAAATGATTTTATAAATTACGCTACCAATTTAAAATATTGTAATATTTGAGATATTTAAAATATTAATTAGATAAATTAAATGGTTAGATATTTATTTGATATATTTAAAAATAGATATTTATAAATATTTTCAAAAAAAAGGAGGAAATCACATGAAATTTTGAATTTTTCAAAAGAAATGGGCCAACAACGGATTAGATTGATACGACAGAATGTATATATATATATATTAAAAACAATTAGATTGAAGAATATGTCAGATCCAACGGTTGATATTTAAGTTCGGTACCACACGGGAATCTTCGAATATAGTTGATAATTTCCTTTTTTTTTTGTTGGTTTTCTCATTAATTATGCAAGTTGCACTAATCCATTCCCACGTTATAATACATCTCTAGGACTATTATTGTTGTTGTAATCTGTTTTATAATAAAATAAATAAATAAAATTTTTAAAGAAAAAGAGAAAATATTTTCAAGAAAATATAAAAACATGACATTTTAACATTTTGTGAAAAGAACAAAAAAGTCTACATGTCAAACAAAAGGATAAAAATAAAAAAGGAAATTTAAAAAAAAAATGAAACATGGGATATGTCATAACTTGTATAACCCAACGGCGAATAATTTGTTAAAACTCATTTCGTCCATTAAATTAAATAATTTATACCTCTAATCTATTCCATCGTTAATTAACTATTTAAGTTAATAATGTGGTGCAACATAGACGGATGTATAAAACCTAAATATCTTTCGATTTTAGTTATAATTAAGTTGTTTTAATTAAAATTTAAACTTAATATGTCTATATTTTTTTATTTGAAAGTAATAAATCATAGAAAGATATGGAATAAAATTATTTTAATATTTTTGTAAAAATAACGAGTAGACATAACATTTAAACTATTCGATATTTTTAGTTACTTGTTAGTTCGCTTATAAATATAACCCAATTTCGTACCCAAAAAAAAATATAACCCAATTTATTTAATTTATGAACCAAAACGAATTGATTTCAAGACTAAGTCAAATACAACAAAAACATTTTGAAATACTAATTAATTTAATTAAAATATAATTAAAATAATGGTGGGCGATATCTAATGACAAGTTTAAAACTAAAATAAGCATAAATAAAGACAGACATGGTTGGCCATATATAGAAAACGATCGTTCCAAAAGAGGGTTTTGGCTTTAGCTAATGAAAGTGGACGTAACTGCGACCACGTACGGTCTTATCGTCGATATGGACACTCGACACACCATTATTATTTTTTGTTTATAAAAATAAACCCTAAAAGAATATATACACACACACACATATATTCATACCAGCAAAAGCACAATAATTCATTTTTAATCATATGATATAGTTTCTTTAAAAAACAGCATCGTGAATCCGTGTTTTGTTTTTGCTTTTATCTTCGATTTTTAAAAAATATATAATTATATTTTTTTGATAGTGTCGGTGGTAGATTTGAGTTGTAAGATAACCATAAATAGTAAATAAAAAAAAAACAAAAAAAAAAAAACGAAGGCAGATATAATTAATAGTAACAAATAGCCGTCTTGTATCTTTATTCTTCTTGTTTTTTTTTGTCGCATTAATTGTATCGTCTATAAATGTGAATGGATAAGGTGAAAAACGTGGGAGCTTATAAACTTTTTATGGTGAATGAATATTCATTTATTTATTTATTTATTATTAAGGATGATTAACGTCTCAGGCTTTCAATAACTGTCATTTCTGAGGAATTTTAATTTAATTTCAGTCTATTGGGCATGCCCCACTTCATAAATTACAGTCAAAATGCATGTATATATATATGTGTGTGTGTGTATATATATGTATTCCATTCGGAGCAACAATTAAAATTTCAACGGCTCTTGATGCATGATGACCTATTGACCAAATATTTTTTTTATCTGGGATATTTCATGTAAAAGAGCTAACTCGGAAATTACAATTTAGTTTCAAAATCTACACTTTTTCTCTGAAAAAATATATACAGATATATTATAAACAGCAAATCCGACTACCCCATATACTGAATATAATCACAAATTCTGATGAACATTTTACATGTATGTGTATATATACTATATCGAGGGAGAGGAAGAACAACCTTGTATTGTTTTATTTAGTTATAATCCAACAAAGAAAAAAACACTTAAAATTTCACAAAAAAATGATATCTGAAGCTTACATATTTGTTTTTTTATATATATATATATATAAAAGATCCATGAACCAACAAAACAGCTAAAAGAACTTCCAAGCAGAAAAAAACACAACTTTGGAAGCAACAAAGCCAAATTAAAAAAAAAAAAAAAACTACTAATCAAACTTCCAAAGAGGAAGCCATAGAAACAGAGCAAAGTTTGAAGGTTCTTTTTCTTTTTTTTTTTTTAAACCAAGGGCTAAGAAACGATATATCTACAAAAGGAAACGAGACAGAGATTCAAGATTGTGTGAAAGAGAGGAGAACCAGGAGGGAATACACACCGGAATCCGACTGATCGGTGTCAAGCGGAGGATGTCGAGGCAGACGATATCACGACATAAGATAAGTGTTGAAGCCCTTCCTGGATTTTCGTAACAGCCGTGGTTTTGTCTGAACGAAGACGTTCCTTGAAGCTGCTGCTTTTGTCCGGGACGAGGGTCGAATGTTCGTCCTTGGATTCGGCTGCCGCATGTATATATGCTTCTGTTACATCTGATATTCCTGTCGTAAGCAGCCGAAAAAAAATGGTGTTAGAAAAGCATCAACCTTTTTTTTTCCTTTTCCTAATGCTATGGAATTTCTAGTCACCGAGGTGAGTTTTGTTCAGATACTCGAAAGGGAGCAAGTCCGCATTTATCTTAAGCACCCTCACTCTACTAAAAATGCAGGCTTTTCCCGAGTCATTTTTTCCCTCGCTGTGAATCGTACGGGCTCCATTCATGTAAATGAACAAAGCCCGGGTGTGTTTTCGGGAATTTCTCCTCTTTCATAGTTAGTAGCCTTTATAGAAGGCATCTTTCTTTGAATGTCTATTAGAGCCAAGTGGAAAACACTATTCACATACGTTAAGAGACAGGCAACTGGCAAATAGGATTTCAATGTGAATTTCACAACACTTATAAGCTGAAAAAAAGTAGAGAGCAGATGTGGACCGACCTGTTATGAAACTGTCTGCAATGGCTTCAACATATCCGGTCATTGACTCGGTCTTGCCTCTGATCATTTTAGCTTTCTCAGTGGGATCCTCTGGCCACTCGATTTTTAAGGCCTCAGAGTCTTCATCCTCAACCTTGTTGGCGAGGGATATGATGGACTTACCCACGATAAGCAGATGAGTGACTGCAAAACAGCACATCTCCGACAGTCTCTGCAAGAATGAGATTCAATTTTTAGTAGTTGGATTCTGTTCTTTTACAGTAACGGAGTTTTAACAAAGCTGAAAATTTGAACATTGAAGGGGAAAGGTAGAAGAAAAAGGGAGAAATCCTTTTCGCACATGAACTCCTTCTGAGTGAAGAGAGTCAAGCCTGCCGCCAGTCCTCTGAATCATATCGTTGATGTTGTTTAGTCCAGCTAAGGTGTTTGTGAACCTGGAAAATGTCCATAAAAGTGAACTAATACTTGAAAAAGGAAGATATTTAATACACACAATGAGCTAATAAAATCATCAATCTCGGGTAAGGGAATCTTAAATATGTTTTTATCATAAAAAATCTCTGTCCTTCCCATTTCTAAGTACAGATCTAAATATAAGGATTGGAATTAGTTATCAATTTCAGGAGGATTATTGTCTCTTTCCCGAGGCTGGGAGAAGGTTTCCATGAGAAAGAACATGCTAAGAGTCTACAAAGACAAGTAAAATATAGATTCAATACACTAAAGAGGAATGATTTTAGGGATTACCCAGCAGCCATATTAGCAGCTTTGCTGACACTTGAGTCATGCAGATTCTTCATCTCATCCTCACCAGTTTCTGTTTGTGTCTCAATCTTCTTCCCTTTGTCAGATTCTGCGTTACTTCCACCAATTTCATCAGTGAAACTGAAAATTTGCTGGATCTGCTTAAGCTTTCCATCATACAGAGATTTCTGATCTGGTGACAGTTTAACCTTTCTCCGGTTGAACAACAGAGCATAGTGGCTTGACAATGACTCTAATTCCTGAAGACATTATGCATCAAGAATTGAGGGAAATTACAGTCAATCCGAGAGAAACAATGACAGGTTTCTTTCACCGATAAGTAGGTCACCTCCAGCTGTTCTGGACCTCCATAAATATAAAAGCACCGATCGAATGTCACTTCCTCATGTAGCTGATCCCCGCTGGCCAGGCTTTCCCTGTTCCTTGCAATGTCAATACCGGTCTCTGTGATCAATAAATCAATAGTCTCCTTGCCCACGTATTCGAGTACTTGCATTCCCTTAGCTGTTAATGCTTTTCCTGTCTGCAGAACAATAGCATAGACTAAGTGAAATTCATTAATACAGAACAGACAGAAGATGCTACAAACAACACAAACCTCCAGTAAAGACGGTGCAACAGATCCAGCTGTACGAGGCGAACCACCTTGCTGAATACTGTTTTCAAGTCTGCAAACAAACAATGAGCTGTCAAGAACTGAATCTTCCACACTAGCCATGAACGCAGCCCTCATCTGAGTGTGCAAATGGTATCTTGATCCTCATTCCAAGGGATTCAATCCGAAATGAGAAAACCCTAAAACCTCTGGGTAAGAATATATTTTGAAATTTCAGCAAATGATGCATCAAATGGCTTATAGTTTATATTCAAAAACACATATGGAGAGTCATAACCTAGCAATAGAGAACTGAAATAGAGAGCCAGTTTACCAGAAACCAACAACATAACTAGAACTAAACTGATTCTACTCATGAATTTGTATTGTCGGCCAATGATGGCAAGCCCAGACATTATTCTGTGTAGCAAATGACGCTGATCAACATTTGTTTCATTTTCATCAGTCTGTATTCTGTGTGTTCAGGCTTTCCTTCTCCAAAAAATCTAACATAGTTAGTTCTGTTACTTAAAATCCAATACTCCAACTGAAACGCTGCATTCCTCTTTTTCAACACAAAGTTAGTGCTCCAGTCCTGAATGATACTTGTCTTCGCAAAATAGATGCTACATATAATCTCTCTCCATAGACAAAATTTTCAAGGCAATTACGAACACCAGAAAACAAAGGAAAGAAAGTAACATACTTCTGCACCAAACTTGTGCCACCTTTCCACACATTTCCTAATGCCTGCCAGGCTCCGGAAGTGAAAGTCTCAACAGAATCATCAAGAACCTTCAAACCCTGCAGCACTAAGATATAAATGCTATGCAACTTGTAATGCGTAAACAAACGAGCAAAGCGAACTTGTGCCAAACATGAATTAGCAAAGAGAAGAAAATCTTGCAATGAGAAAAAGTGTATGGAATGGACAGAATGTCACATCTCCGATTTTATTACAACAAATAGTGTAACTTGTATATAAAAGTCAAGAAAACCTGCCTGGCTAAGGAGGGTATCTTCGCTTGCATTCTCCAGTTTATCCAGAGCAGACTTCCGTACCTTCTCCTTCTCATCATCACTATCCTGCCCCTTATTAGGTTCCTCAGTTTTCTCTTGCTCCTTGGTAGCTGATTCCGAGTCTTCCTCATCCTCTTGCAAATCTGCCATGCTTTTTGCCGCTTTCTCTGCCACTGCTGCAGCCTACAGGAGCAAAGCAGGGACTGTTATTCTCGAATGACCTCACAGCAACATTGCACTAGAATTAGTTTCCACGAAAATGGAAGAACAGAAGGTGCCCGGCCATTCTGATTCAGAATATTACAAACGTGGAGACAAAAATAAGTTCCCTAGAGCTGTTCAAGCATTTGATTATTTGCACAGTGACGGAGGATCTTTCAGTTATTAAAAAAATTCCTTTTAAAGCAGCTCATGTAAGTTAATCAAGAATCTATTGCTAATAAAGCAACTTTATGAAGCAAATATGTAACAGTTGTCAATTCCCACAAAATTTCGCTGTTCGCGCAAGCATATTTGATAAAACAAAAAAAATCAACAAACCTAGGTGCCGAATACCATAGACCTCAGATCCGGCACCCAGGAATTTCCAAAATGAAACCCTAATCCTAAAAATAGAAAAGATGGGGATCAATTAAGAGCTTGAATCACACATTACGAGAAATCTCCTCCGCAGCCTTTTGAAGATCCGACAGAACGGAGAAGGCGGAAAACCCCCAGCCCCAACCTCCGGAATTCTTCTGCGGCTCCTCCGACTCCACCGCCACCGCCGTTTTGTCCTTGTCGGATTCTTCTCCTCGAACGGGTTCTTCTTTGGGGGATGATTTATCCGCCCTGAGCGAAACTTTGTCTTCCTCCATTTCTCGTCGATCACAAAGAGATCAAAATAGAGATCTTCCCCCAAAATCGAGTGATTTGGGGATTTCGGAGGATCAGAAGAGAATTAGGGTTTTCAGAAAACGGAGAAAAAAGTGGGAATTGAAGCAATTTTTTTTTATTAAAAAAAGTTCAAACTGTATTTCAGTTAGGCTAGAGCTCTCGGAATTGACCGGAAAACTATGCTGAAACGTGCAGTTAAACGGCAAAAGCACCTCTCAGTTAAAACGCCGTCGTTTAATAACTCTTAATTTTTCTTTTCCCCCTCAAAAAATAGAATTTTTGAGTGCTTCAAAAAATATAAATATTGTGTTTTTCGCAGTTTTTAGATTTCAAAAAGTGAAAAAACCGACAATCAAATTTTTTGAAATTTAGGTCTTGAATGGTGGGAGTTTTTGGAGTTTTTAGAATCCAAAAACAAAAAAAAACAACATTCAAGTTTTTACAAAATTACTTTTTCTAAAAACTTGGAAAGCTATTTTAGCGAAAAAATCAATGAAAAACCAAAAGCTACTTTTTTGAGTTTTCAAATATTATAAAATCCAAAAGCCAAAAACCAAAAACTAAAAATCAAAATCCAAAAACTAAAACCAAAAACCCAAAATAAAAGCCATCTCTATTCAAAGCTTTAGTTTTTCTAAAAACCCGGAAATGAAAAAAAATCAACTAAAAACTAAAATCCACCTTTTTTTAGATTTATAAATTTTCATAATCCAAAAGCCAAAAACCAAAAACTAAAAATCAAAAACCAAAAACTAAAACCAAAAACCCAAAATAAAAACCAATACCGTTCAAAGCCAATATTTTTTTTTTATCAAACCATCTCATTTTGGTTTATGAATGGTATGAACATCTACATTTCAATTAAATATTTCCGGCCGTACCGAAAATTCATCTAATTTTTTACGTTACTTATGTCTTTGTATTTGCACGTAATTTGAATTCTATTTATTTCATATTTAGTCTAAAATCGAGGCATAATTTTTTTTAATATTTACAATTTTATAAATAAAAAATGTTATGCTTGATTGAAATGTTACACAAGGCTTTGCCAACACTGTGAGTGTGAATGACGGATTCAAGAATGAAGAGGAAACCACTTATTAAGGCTTTATTTTATATAGGGTCCCATACAAATTTCTTTTATATAGGGTCCCATAAACCTAAAATTTACCTTAAAATAAAATAAATAAAAACCCTAAAGAAATTGTATAATCCATAGTCAACCACACATTAATAAGATTTCGCGATAAAATTTTATCTCTAAATGCATTGCGTAATACATGGAATAATACGAGAAAAAGAAACTCTATAATTTTTTTCGTTTAATTTAGTATTTTTGTATTAGAACATTATTATATGTTACACGTGAAAATCAAGGGATTCAATTCTGATCTAATAAATATCTCAAATATTAAAATATTTTAAATTGATATTTTAAATATTAAAATTATGAAAATTGATATTCTAATTTATGAAATCAATTGTAATTTTTAACTCGGTTTTTATGATAATTTTTAATTAAAAAACAAATCGAAATTAAATTAATTGCTATCAATTTCATAAAATTAATTATAAATTTAAAATATTTTAATCTTTAAAATATTAATTTAAAATATTAATTTAAAATATTTTAATATTTAAGATATTGATTAAATTAATTAAAATTTTATATATTTATTTAGTATTGATTGATTTTCCTTATATTTTAAAATAAACTCGATGGACAAAACTGTGATGTAACCTGAAAAAAAATATATATATATATATATAACGGGAAAAGAAAGAAGACCTGTGTATACGCGTATGTATAACCAAAACGGCACCGTTCACTCTTCCCTCGGCCTCTGGCCACCGTCTCTGCGGACTCGGCCAAATAGTTGGGAGAATCCATTCATGGCCGGTCAGTACCTCTGATCCAAAATTTCAACGATCTTGAGGCGGCGAATCCAACTTCTCAATCTTCGCATTCGTCGATTTTCAATTTTGATTTGACTAGCTCTTGTAGAGTTGTAGGGTTTTCGGGAATTCCCCTCGTCCTCTCGGAGAAGCTGAATTGGTTCGAATTGCGTAAGGATTGAATTGGAAGAGGAGTAAGAGGAGGACGTAGAGGAACGAGAGAGAGAAATAAAGAAGACGATGAAGGCGATGAAGACGATACAGGATCTGATCGAGGAGGCTAAAGTACGGACTGTGTGGTGGGGCTTGTGCGTTTTCTTCGTCACTTACTTCTTGACCCGTAAGTTCGTTCCGAGCTTTTCCGTACATATTTCCCATTGTCCGTATTGTGTTTGATTTTGCTGTTTGGTGCTTCTTTGGGTTCCTGGTTCTTGTTCTAGGTAGAGAGTTCCTGTAGGAATTATCAGAATGTTGTTGTTTTCGATTCGCTATTTTCGGTACGCCATGTTCCGGGTATTTGTTGAATTTGTAGCTATAACATTGTACACCTCTGGTTTATCTCCTTAACTAGGTTGAAATCAAGACCATTTATGATAATTTCTCCACTTGGCTAAGAACAGAGGAACAAAACAGTGCTAGTTTCTCTCTGGCTTTGATTTGTGTGCATTAGATGGGACATTGTTTTTGGGTTTTGTCTTCCCTATTCTAAATTATTGTTGCTTAATGTTGTCTTGTGATTCTTATGTACTTGATTGAACTAATCTCTTGCGATTAGTTTTTGTTTCTAAATGTTTTTGTACTTTTTGACACAGATACGAGTACGTCTATGTGGATGAATTTACCAATGGCAATCCTCATTGTTTGTGGTCTACGGATTTTGTCTAATGAGGTTGAGTTCCACTGGAAAGTTAAGCCAGCTCCCAGTAAAAGTCGTTTGTCTTATCTCGTGAACAAGCAGATACCGTTGAATGATCCACGTCTTTCTTGTGCACTGCCTCCTCCAATGTGGAAAAAGAAGATCGACTCTCCAGTAGTTGAAGCTGCAATAAATGAGTTTGTCGATAAAATCCTAAAGGATTTTGTGGTAGATTTGTGGTACTCTGAAATTTCCCAGGATCAGGAGGCGCCTGAACTGATTCGCGCAGTTATCATGGATGCCCTTGGTGAATTATCTGTAAGAGTAAAAGAGATAAATATCGTTGACTTGCTAACCAGGTGCCATTTTAATCCCCGTTTCACTTGTCGCCTTTTTCAATTCTTCTCATACAAAAAGCTTCTTAGGAACTTTATTTGAGGATGATGAAAAGCAGTGTCTAATGCTTCAGGGACATAGTCGATTTGATTGGCAATCATTTGGAACTTTTTAGACGAAACCAAGCTGCTATAGGCATTGATGTTATGAAGACGTTGTCATCAGAGGAGAGAAATGAAAGATTGAAATACCATCTTACGGCTTCTGGGGAACTTTATCCCGCGCTCGTGTCTACAGAGTGTGAGTACAAGGTGTGAAGGGAGAGTTCAGATGATAAATAGATTGGCTTTTCTGCCTGTGCTTTTATTGCATTATGTGTAAGTGTTGTCTTATCCTGCAGGTTCTTCAACAGATAGTGGCTGGGATATTATCTGTGGTTCTCAGGCCACGGGAAGCTCAGTGCCCTCTCGTTCGAACAATTGCTAGAGAGATTGTTACTTGCTTGGTACTTCAACCTCTTTTGAATTTAGTGTGCCCCGAGTAAGTTCTTTGACCATCTCCATCTTCCAGGTTAATAGTATTTGGTACCGATGTCTAGCTTTTAGTCTTTTCCTTGATCCAATTCCCCTTGCATGGGTATATTGCAAACCAAATAGGGATAATAGATTATCCCCATATCTGGCAGTTTAAAAATCTTAACTTATAAGAATTACTACCGAGATTTAAGTGGCGGAAGTTAGTTTCCTGGTTTCCTCAGTGCTAGATATTTTGTTCAAACTGTTTATTTTCAGTTTTTCCTAGGAATATGTGTGAAATATTTTTCTCTCTGCACCAGGCGTATTAATGAGGTGATTGAAATCGTTATCAACATTATCAAAGAGGGAGACTTTCAGCAGCTTTCGGGGGAAGCACAGAGTGTTGGATCTGCCTCAATGAACAGTTCATCATTTGATAATCAAGCGAAGAACATGAATTCTGCGAAATTTGATGAGCAGACAAAGTCATCTCCAGACTATGAAAAGTATCAATTGACCATACATCCACATTCTGCTGAATGGGCTCGTGTGCTCGAGGCAGCAACGCAAAGGAGAACAGAGGTTCTTGCTCCTGAAAACCTAGAAAACATGTGGGCAAAAGGAAGAAACTATAAGAAGAAAGATTACAAAAAATCTTTAAAACAGAAAGATCATGCCTCTATGTCTCGAACTTCTACTGGATCTGAAGGGAAAGCAATTGCACGGTTACCCCCAAGATCAAGTGTTGATAATCAGTTACATGTCAGACAAGCGCAATTGGCGGAGGATTTTAATAAATCATCTTCTTTCGAAGGGAACAGCTGCATTTATGAGGATGATCCTGCTTCTGATGGAAGCAAAATTAGGCTTAAAAGATCCAACAGTACTTCTGATCTTAAAGGGCATCGTGAAACAACGCAGGGACATGAGGGGTCTACTATCACAGAGTTCTTCACCACAGATTTTGTCAACCACAATGAAAAATACACTAGTGATAAAAAATCTCCAAACATCTTTCTTCACAAAGAGGGACAACATTCTCCAAAGCTCAAATGTCAGGTATGCTCAGGTCTTTAAATTATCTTCAGATTTAGATATCAAGATAAGTTAATGTTAGTTGGTTTATTTTTGTAAATACATATGGAATGCATCTTCTTTATGGCGCGTGGAACTAAAAATACTACCCTTTTTGTTGAGGAGTTTTCAGAGAGCTATTATCTAACATGTATGTGTGGTTGCAGGTTCGTGGTGCTTATTTCGAGAAACTGGGATCAAAATCATTCGCAGTATACTCTATTGCAGTGTCAGATGCAGAAAACAGAACTTGGTTTGTTAAGAGAAGGTTATATACTAATCAATTCTGGTAGCAGTAATATCAGATCAGTGCATCGTTGAAATAAAGTCTAGTTACTTAATCAGACATGTCCACTAACTTTTGATTTTGACTTTGTAAAAGGCACTAGATTACTGTTGCTGAATCTGTGTTACTTTCTTTTCATCCTTCCAGATACCGTAATTTTGAGCGGCTGCATCGTCAGCTCAAAGATATCCCAAACTACAATTTACATTTGCCTCCTAAGCGAATATTCTCATCAAGCACTGAGGATGCTTTTGTTCATCAGCGTTGTATTCAGCTAGACAAATATCTGCAAGTATGTTACCGTCCCTTGGCAGCCCTTGAAGGATATTTACCAGTGGCATACTTTTTGAATGATAATTTACTATTATTTGGTGTTCCTGCAGGATCTATTGTCTATAGCTAATGTAGCTGAACAGCATGAAGTTTGGGATTTTCTGAGCATTTCTTCGAAGGTGAGCACCTAGCTAGAATTTGGTGAACTGTTCTGACGCTTTTATCAACTGTGTAGTTGTTATTTGATGACATTACTTTCTCTTCCTTTTGGCCTGAGGATCTAATAATCGTGTTTTCCTTCTGAAGAATTATTCTTTTGGGAAGTCTTCATCAGTGATGAAAACACTAGCAGGTAATTATTTTCCTCTGGTTGAGAGAATTTTAGCTATTTATAAAATTTCTACCCGAGCTGTCATAAGTTTTTTCTCCCTTTTATCCCCCTTGAACACCTGTCTCATTTTTTGCTTTCTGCAGTAGAACTATTCTCTGTTTTGTCTATGTCCAGGATTCTGTACATTGAAATCAATGTTGTGTGGTTGCTTTGCTCTACGTTTTCTGTACTAAGTTTATCTCTTGGAAATGAACAGTTAATGTTGATGATGCAATGGATGACATTGTGCGTCAGTTCAAAGGGGTTTCAGATGGCCTTATGCGGAAAGTTGTAGGTTCTCAGCTTGAAGAAAGTGCTTCTGTCCCTGCCCGACACCTCTCCTTGAGTGTACATGACCTAAGCAGTCATCTTCCTAGGCAAATTACATCAGAATCAGTGAACAGCACATCCGATACAGATGATGTTGATAAACTTGGAGATAGCACTCATGCGGAAAGTAGATTTGATTTAGGAGCTAATGGGTGGCACTCAGATAACGAAGTGAACTCTAAGAATTTCCCACCAAGGGTGGTAAGGCGCCTTGGAGGACCCGAGAAGAAGTCACGTTCAGAGAAGGAAAACGATTTTGAGGTTAAAGCTGAACAGAGGGGCTCTCTTGACTTGCAGCTTGCCGATCCTTTGACAGCCTTGATCCACAATCCTACTGGCATGCCGCCTGAGGTACAACATATTAGGCCTGGAATCTCCCTTTTGTATTCCACACAATCTTAGGGGATCGTGCTTTTATCACTTTCTTTATTTTTCCGATGGGATCTGTATGAGCCTTGCCTGGATTTGCCATGTTAGCATGCAGTGCTGAACCTGCACTTGAGGGCTTAACCAGGAGACATCCCTTAAGTTTTGAATTGAGTTTATTTTGAAAGCAAAACTTGATCGATTAACCTAAATCTTTGTTATGTAATGTGGTTGTTTTTGTTCTCAGTCTGGTTAGGTTGTACCAATTCACATTTTGCTTCTTCCAATTTGGATTCATACATGCATATATACATACATACTTAAACTTAATCCTTTGTTTTGGAATGCAGTGGACGCCACCCAATGTCAGTGTGCCAATACTTAACCTAGTCGATAAGGTGTTTCAGTTGAATAGAAGAGGTTGGTTAAGGTGAGATGACTTTCGAGATTTTTTCTGGCCCTCTTTTTTGTTCAGCACCACGCCGCCACATTTCAGAACAATCTTAATTTTCCGTTTTTTTTTTAATCTTTGATATTTCCCCAGGAGACAAGTTTTCTGGATATCAAAACAAATATTACAGTTGGTTATGGAAGATGCTGTTGATGACTTGCTCCTGGGGCAGATCTGTTGGCTCAGGAATGAAGACACAATCGCCAAAGGGATCCGCTGGGTTCAAGATGTGAGAACCGAGTTTTCCTTATCTTGTTGAGATTATGTGGACAGAAGAATCTTCCCCTATTCATCATCTTAGAGTCACCCTCATATTTGACTGAAACTATCATTTGCGTTGATCCTCTCAGGAGGGCTAGAGAGAAGTTTAATAGGACTAGTTGAGGGTTGTTGCCTTAATTCTCTCCGTCACAAACTCTATTGTTTGCAATTTCTCCAGATTCTTTGGCCAAACGGCGTCTTCTTCACCCGAGTTGGCGATGCTCAGAGCAAATCCGATGAAAATGACCATGATCAGAAACCGTTCCAAATCGCCGGCCAATTCAGCGGTCTAAAGGAAACGAAACCCAGCTCATTTGAGCAGCAACTGGAGAGTGCCCGGAGAGCCAGTGACATAAAGAAATTTCTCTTTGGTGAGTACTGGATTCCCGTCTCGAGTAATTGAACAACATCTGGAGTTAAACTTTAACTCACTGAAACATCGGGTGGCGAAATCAGATGGAGCCCCGACGGCGTTGGTGGGATTAGTAGGGCCCAAGCAGTACAGGAGATGCGCCCGAGACATCTTCTATTTCACCCAGGTTTCGGACTCTTACAATCTTTTCATTTAGCTGAATTCAGGGTTGTGGTCTGAACCAATGATCTTGAATCTATGGCAGTCGAGTGTATGCATGAAGCAAGTCACATACTCCATACTCGAACTGCTACTCAGATCTGTCCTCCCCGAGCTGGACGACCTCCTCAGAGACATAAGGGAGAAATCTGACATGGAATCCTGAGTGGAAATTGTTTATATCTATGGAGAAGGTAGGTAATATATATATATATGATTTTTGAACCCTTTTTTTTTATAACCAGAAGACCACAAAAAAAAAAACTGAACCTTGAAACTTGAAAGTTTCAGCTCCCTGTTAGGATGCGGGATGGATGGAGGGGTAATGTCTCCTTTGCAAGTAGAGCGGCGTTGATCATGAATATTACATCAAGGTAGTGCCACTACTTCTACATTCTTTAGTTCCCTCTTTTCTTGTTTATTTGCTTGTTTTTTTTTGGTAAAAACACGAAATGCTTGTACAGAATTAGGACATAAGGCAGATGTATTTTAACTTTTAAATCATACAGATTATACAAAGTTTCTCCAAAGAAACATTCTTCCTGAGCACAAACACAGACTCTTAAAGCAAGAAAGCATCATCCTTCCTCATTTACTTCCTTTTAGACTTCTTGTTGGAAGCTCTCTGGCTCACAACTTTCCTCTGGGCAGCTTCAAATTCTTCTTCTGTGGGTTCAGATTCTTCAGCGTTTCCGCCATACCTCGAGACCATCGATGAAAACATCGACTCGAATCTGTCTTTCCTTTCATTCCTCCGCTGCGAAATCAACGAGTATAGATCTTTCTCCGAACCCTTTGACGATCTACAAAAAAGAAAAACAAGTCAGGCTCATCATCATCTCCTTTTCTGGGAAGAAGAGTTTCCTTTTCGTGTGCATTTGCAGATGGAGAGGCTTTACTCCTGCCTTCTCTTCCTCAAGGGGCTTGTAGGAGGTTTCATTTCGGAAATCTGCTTTGCCCATTTCTCGTACGCTTTCGTTGATTTAACTTCTCCTGCATACGTGTATACACAACCGATTTTACAAAAATCTACACTTTGTTACCATGAATGCCATAACTCAAGGCTAGATGAAACAGACGAGCAATGCTGAAATTTGAGCAATTAGCCTTTTTTCCCCCCTTTTTAGATCCTTCTATATAATAGCCAACGCCACAAAACTGAATCAACCAAAGAATAGGGTAGTCTTCTAGAAACAAACAATATGCTAGACTAGGACTTAGACTAGAACTAGTACTCCGATCACTGATTTCATAAGCAACTACAGAGCACAGAAAGAACTGAACTTAAAAAAAAAAAATACGCCTACAGGAAAGAGCAAACATACCCATCTGCTTAACTGAACCTGCATGCCACTAATTCCATAGAAAATTAAAAATCATACAAATGTGATCATAAAAGAGATTCCTCTCCACAGCTCAGAGAAACCTTACTTATGACTTATGAGGTATATGGTTCTAGTGAAAACTGAGAGAGCCTACCTGCAGCAATTGCTTCATCAAGAATATCTTTGAATCGGTGAGAATCAAGCTTGGGATCAGAGCACAGCATTGAGCAGAAAAGCCTGAAAGGTAAACAATATAATATATACATAAGAGCCTTACAACATTACAACAACGATAAAACGAAGAGACGATTATGATGATGTGTTACCTGTTCATTTTACCCTTGAACTTCTTGAACAACTCGATCAAATCTTTCTTCTCTGATTCAGAACCTCTGTAGTTGGCCTCGAACTCTTCTATATCTGCCTCAGTGACCTTAAAACAGTAGAGCATATACGTTATCAATTGGGAAAAGCATGGCACGGACATAGATCCAATTCCAAATCTTTTTTCAATTCTCTGCAGCATTACCTTCTTGTACATAGCCTGGAAGAACTCTCGCAAGTTATCAACGACATCCCCAGAAAGGTCCTGGTGAATGTAAAGACAGGCGTGTTAATAAGGAAATGTCTCTGTACCGAAAAGAAGTTAACACTTTGAACAATTCAACAAAATAAGGTGAGAATCAATTAGTGATAATTCCAAGAAGATAATTAGAGCCCAGAAAGTATTAAGCTTAAGAGATAGATTCCTTGTACTAAAATCACAGGAACAAGAAGAAGAGGAAAGTAACAAACAGCGTCATCAACTGAGCCGGTTCGATCATAGACCGCCTTTTTCTCTTCGTCACCAAGAATCGATATCACTTTTTGCAGCTGCTGAAACTTCTCCTTAGCTTCCTGCAACAAAAAATTGAAAAATTCATTATTAAATGAGATAGGCCTATTGAAGATTTTAAGAAGTGAAAACCTTAAAGGATGGAAAAAAGAAAAAGAGTTTACCTTATCATCAGGATTTTTATCGGGATGTAGCCGTAATGCCAATTTATGATATGCTTTCCTTATCTCCTGCTGTGAAGCAGTTCTTTCAACACCAAGAACCTACAACAGAGAGCGCCATTCCACAGTTTCATTGCTAAGACAAGGCATTTGTAAGCAATCTAGAGAATTAATGGCATCACTTTTTGCAATTCAAATCAATCCTAAACCAACGACCTAATCAAACGGCTAAGAATCATCATGGACCTTTGAAAAATTTACCAGAATTGATATGCAACAAAGGCAATGCCCAGAAGGGAATTTCAAATTCTATTACATCAAGGCAACTGAAACAGACATGATCATCACAAACAAGCAACTTTTTTCCCCCGAAACATGAAAATGACAAAAGAAAACTATACTTTGCCACTGATTACTGTCGTGCAAGTGGTGAATGTAGATATATACGACACAAACCGAAAACTATGCAGAACCTTGAACCCAGACTGAAACCGAGAAAACGGGACGCGGAACCCTAAATTACGACAGAGAAATAGTTTGATCGGAACGACAAGGCAATGAATGACACAAACTGGACAAAACCCGATCTGCTTCGATCCATTACCTCGTACAGACTTCTCTCGTTGGATTGAGCATCGCTGTCCGTCCCAATCGTTTCTTCCTCTTCTGCTGCCTCTTTGGCCGAAGCCCTAGATTTCTTGGACCTGCCCATCTAAACCCTAATACGACGAAACAGACCTATTCGTCGGTTGCCCCGAGGAGGAGGAGAAGAATGAAAAATTGATGCTTTATGCGGAGAGTTTTTGGGCTCCAATTTTCTTTCCCGCCATATCTGTCTCTCTTTCTGCACATTTTCGCGCCGGAGGGTTTCCCTGTGGATCTGTGACATCAAAATAATAATAATAATAATAATTACAATTCTAGAATTAAATTAATATAAAATATGTATTTTATTAAATAAATATCAATTGGAAGACGTAAATTTCGTTTAACACATTTATTTTTTAACGAAGTTTTTACGAGACCAAATCGAAAATATTTTTGGTTTTAGTGTACATATTCTTCCTAAACTTGACAAAACGAAAACCAGACTGAAAAAACAAATAATAATAATAAGAAATTGAATATTAACTCCTAAATTTTGCAAAGAACAAATAGAAGATTGAATCGGAATTTTCAGACATCCCAAAAGAAAAACAAATCTATATGGACCTGAAACAAACCGGATTAAATAATCATGGATTATAGAAATAAATAAATTGGAATATTTTAGGATGAGTATAAATCAATGTTTACAAAACCGAACCGGACCGACCGGTCGAACCGCAACGCGGATGCATAACCGGTTTCCTAAGAGTAAACCGGTTCGACAGCGTAGAGCCTCGGCTCCTAAAAACATTTCATACACTAGAAAAGCCCAGTAATAATATTACCCAAAAGCCCAAGAACCGAGTCACTTCTAGTGGATTTTAGCTTATATCTGTTTTCTTAAATTAAATAGTTGTCAATACATCTAAAAAAATAAAATCTTTATTATTAAAATAGAAGTTACAATATTATATATTTAAATTTCATTTTTTTTTGGATTTAATAAATAAAAATTATCTACTAAACATTTTAAGCTTTACAAAAATGTTTGAATCTCATATAAGATTATATCAGAATGTCAAAACACAATATTTCCAACTTTAGCTTTGACTGTACTTTTTTTTTTGCCATTTATAAAATTACTAGAAATTTAAAAACAAAAAATTAAACATAGATGCAGCACAACAATTGTTATTGAAAATTTCAATATAATCACTAATGTTAAAAATTATAGTGTATAGCCAAGTCTAATGTTATTGAAAATTATCTAGGATACTAATTTATGACTAAAACTTATATGAAATTAACTTAAGATAGTTTTTACCAAAAAAAATAATTTAAGATAATGGAGATGTGGTTTAGTAATTAACGATTTAAACTAATCTCATTGGGTTGGTTACATATACATTATAAAAACAATACACCTAAAATATTTTTCTAATGAAAAGTTTACTAGTTTGTTTATTTTATTTGCAAACCATTATATGTACCTCTTCTATTGTGAAAATAAACATCGCAGCAAAATTCTAGAGAAAAAATAAATAAATGTTTCAATATAAATAACAATATGGCGTCCTCCTAATAATTTTATATAATGTTGAATTCTTAGTAAATATACCACATGGCACATCGATACAAAACATTTTTTTTGTGAACCCAAAATGATGTCACTATATTCCTTTGGTTTTTGACTATTATACAATCACAGGGAAAAAAATATATTTTTTGGTCTTTTATAACAAAAAAAAAATATTGAAATATTTCAAAGTGATCATTGATTAAAAGGTAGATTAACGAAATATAATTTATCAATAACATGTGACAATATATATACATACATATATAATTATATATATGTATATATATTGTCCAAGAATAGAAAGTAGTCGCGTGTCTGCCCCGTTGCCTCAGAGGGAAATACAAAATCAAAAGCGGAAAAAAACCCTGTCTCCATTACTTGGCATCGAAGTCACGCATTTAGTGTGTGTTTGGCTATTTTTCCACGTAGAAAAAGGAGATTGAATTTGTGGTAAATAAAAAATAAAATTATAGGGATTTACAATCGATTTACGCATGTAAATTGTAAAAATATAGGGATTTACAATCGATTTATTTGGTAAAACTGATAAAAAAAAAATTGAAAAAGAAAGAAAAGTGTGGTACTCTGTTTCTGTTTCTGCATTAGTACCTCTGCATCTGCATTACAGACTGGTCAAAGACTTGCAGGGAAAAAAAAAGCACAGAGAGAGAGGGAGAGAGGGAGAGAGAGAGAGAGAAGAGAGAGAGGGTGGCAATGAAGAGAGGGTCTGAGCGTATGCTGGAAGAAGACTGGGATGCGGCTAGCTTCTACAAGGTCATTCATGGAAGTGAGCTTTCTTCAGAAAAAATGGTGAATCCCCCCCCCCCTCTCTTCCTTGTTTAGTTCAGGCCCTTCTCCTTTTTCTTGTTTGTTTCCTCGGAAAGTGAGAGAAAACAACACAGAGAAAACAATGGTTAATGATGTTGCTTCACATGTAGCTGTTGAACACTCAACCCCTCTAGAACATGGAAAGAATTCAATCTGGTTAATCTCCATAAGGAAGCAAGACCCGTCTGGAAACCTTAAGCACTCCGCTTTTAAGATTTAGGCTCATACCCTTGCGTTTAAGCTGTGAAATGTTCGAAGATTTCTGGGCTGAAAGGTTGGAACTTTGGTCAGAAAATCCCATCTGGAGAGTAATGTTGGATAACCTTTATTGTTTCAGCTCAAGAACTCGGTGCATAAATGCTTAACATAATATCTTATATTCTTTTGGTATTAACTTCCCCGATTAGATGTTCCTGCAGGACAAGGCATTTGTCTCTTCTGATGTCTTTTGTCTGTGTGTTTCACTGATGTTCTCGTGGGTAAAAAGCGGAGGATCCCGGAAGAGTTTCTGAGAAGTCTATCGAACAATGACTTTGCGTATCGGGTGGTGCTGAAGGTGGCATGGGGAAATTCCTGGACCATTCCACTCACAAAGAACAAAGGCAATTTCTTCATGAAGAAATGTGGATGGGAAGAGTTTCTTAGGGACAATGGAATGGGAAACGACGAATTCGTCGTCTTCACTCACCAAGAAAGGATGCATCTGAACGTGAAGATCTTCTCCAAAAATGGGATGAAGATCCTCAAGCCTCAAGAGCCAGTGACCCCTAGTAAGTTCCTCTGCATGATTCTGACAAAGTGTTGGTTGTTTCTGTGATTGAATGGATTTTGTTTTGTGTTTCGTTGATGAAAAGGTCAGAGCACACCGAGGGGTCCGAAGAGGAAACGTGTCTCGAAAGATGTCAAAAAGGAGGAGCCCGAGTCTGAGATCAGTGATGTGATCAAGCGACGTGGAGGAAGAAAACCCAAGCAAGCTGAAATGCAGGAGAACAAGATAATGCAGAGGAGGCGCATTGTTCGTAGGGCTACTGAATCATCACCTTCAAGTGAATTTCCTCGGTTCACCATCAAGATCAAACCGACTTACCTCAACTTTCTGGTATCACACTTGCTGATTTCTCGCCTGTTGAATTCTATCGTCGTGTTTCACATGAACTGATCCAAATGTCTTTTCCTTTTTTTCTTTCAGCTGGTTCCAAGCTGGTTTGCCATGGAGCATCTCCCGAGAAAGTCAACGAGGATAGTGATTCGTGACTCGACAGGGAAGACATGGGAGATGACATGCCTTTACAGACAGGGACGGATGACATTGTCTGCAGGATGGGTTGGCTTTGCGAGGGAGATCGGGTTGAAGGAAGGAGATTGGTGCACCCTTGAGCTCTTCAATGACAACGAGATGCATATCCAAGTCTCTAAGGGGAGGCCAACGTGATGAAGTTGATGACTTAAGGATGTTTCTATGACTCCGGATACTTTTATCAGACAGTCTTAAGATGTTATGAAGACTTTGTGTTTGGTGGATGGTTTGGTTTTCTGATGTTTTAAGACTTTGTAGTGTTTGACAGGTAGTTAGTTATGTCTTGGACTGCTGATCTGTTTTCTCTTTTACATTCTCTGGCTTCAGTTCTGTTTCTAAGAACTAAACTTGGGGGACACAACAAAGAGTAGATTACAGAAACAATTGTTACAACTATCAATCTTCTGAATTTGATGCAGCCAAAACAGAGGGATAGGCAGTGGTACAACTTGAATGAGATTAAAGAACACAAACTAGAAACAAAATCCTGAAATCAGATTTGTCATAAACAATTATCAATCTTCTTCTCTAGGTAACTTGGTGATTTTTGGAGAAGAAGGGCTTAACCCTCATCAGAAGCCGACAATTCCGAAGGTAGGAGAGGATCAAGGCTTGCACATGAACTGTGATAGATGAGATAGGATGATGAACCTGCAAATGTTCCTTACTCAGTTTCAGCCACCGAGACCTTCACTAGGTGACTATCAGTTCCTTCGATATGACTCGAGGTACAATCCCCTCAGCTGAAAGGGGCCATTTTGAAGAAAACCCAAAACGTATCATATGTAGATTGGTGTTTAATGACCAAAGTCATGGCAGAACAATGCCTCCAGGGCCATATTTTCTCTATCCAGAAGTTCCAACAAGTTCAAGAAGTAGATAATCAAGCGTCAGCCTTTGCGGTGCCGAAATGAGGTGGTACCTTTAGGAGAGATGCCTTTACTGACCATTTTTCTCGGAAGCTCCTCTGCAAGGTCTCCATCCTGGTTTTTGAAACAAGCCTGTATCATTTTATAGGTCATAACTCATAAGAGAAGGACTCAACCCAATACTCGTAACATCTCATGGAACTCTGAAACCATTCCTCCCTGACTGTGTTTCTTCACAATAAGCAGTGTTAAGTATCATCATGTGTATATGCTGAATTCCATAGGTCACCATTTCATCATGCAATGCAAAAGCTTTTCTAACATTCCCACACCTGCAGTGTCCATTTCAGTGTATGGGAATTGACAGAGTTCCCTTGTGTTACATTCCATTCATCATCAAGTCTGGCTTTTCCTTTCTTGTTCTATGTTTCTTAATCGATTGATCAAAACATTACAAGTCCAAACACTTGATTTAGTTGCCTCCTTTGCCAGCTCAACCCCATTAGTAATCTCCATGATCAAATCCCCTTTGTTCAAAACCTGGATTTTCCTGCTCTTTTCCCTGTGCTTTTGTTGTTTCTTGTTGGTTTTGTACAAAGAATGGGGTCAATGACTATGAAAGCTTGGAAACTTTCTTTCCTACATGTTTGATGGACACTTTGTTTCCGTACAGATTTCATCTATCTTCTAAAAAATTAAGGAGAAACAGTAAAAATCTGAGTGCTATTGTGAATTACTGAATGAAACTTGGATTTAGAGTAAAGATTACACGAACCGTCACCTCAAATATCAATTTTTGGACATGATGAAGTTAGACAGAGAAATGAACAGCAGTTCAACTCTAACTAGATTAAAAAAACAAACAAACTGGAAACCCCGGGGGATCATATTGTCACAATCATACTGCAGCTTTGAAAGACAAGAGTTCTCCAGGTACCTTTATGATGATTTAGAGGAGAAAGGTGGTTTTAGCATATTCATTAGAACCATCTGTTTCAAAACCAAGACTCCCACATGAGACTGGATGATGGAGTTGCAGATATTTCTAACTGTTTCAGCTGATGAATCCTTCGGCAGATGATGTTCGATTCCTCTGGTGTGTCTCGGTGAAACCTCAAGGAACGATCTTCAGCCCAAAGAGCCACACGAAAAGAAAACCAAAAACACGATCGTAAGAAGATCGGTCTTTTGGATCCTATTCAACATGGTTTAGCTTTACAATCATCGGCAGATCTACCTTCAAATACGTCGTCTGAAAAAAAAAATCGTTCCTTGAAAAGATGTAAATCTTCTCCTTTCCGAAAGTTCCAAGAATTTCGAGAAATGGGTCGATCAAGCATCAGACTTTTCAGTGTCGTTGTTCAAATTAGTCATGGCCTCAATCAGAGAGCAGTAGGTGCTATCATTAGGAGTAATGCCTTTACTGACCATCTCTCTGAAAAGCTCTTCCGCAAGGTCTCCATCCCGGGTTTTGGACAAGCCCCGTATCAGCGCATTGTAAGTCAGAACAGTCGGATCAAACCCTATACTCAGCATCTCATTGTGAACCTTACGAGCATCATTTATATCCCCTCTCTTACTGTACCCACTTATAAGGGTGTTGTAACTAATATGATCAGGTTCAATTCCTCTTCTTTTCATCTCATCAATTAGCTCGCGAGCTTTTTCAACTTTTCCTTCCCGACAGAACCCATACATCAAGCAGTTGAACGTCACTTCATCAGGATCAACTTTTGTCTTCTCCATCTCCTTAAGCAGTGAAAATGCACGCTCCATATTACCGATTCTACAATGGCAACCAACCAAAGCATTGAACAGTATAAGATCTGGTTTCATTCCTTTACGTAGAACCTCCTCAAACAACTCATCTGCCTCCTTCATTCTGTTTCTATTACCCAAAGTACATATAAGCGCTGTATAAGTGACCAGTGTTGGCTGAATTCCATAGATGACCATTTCATCATGAAAAGCCAATGCTTTCTTTGCATCCCCGCATCTGCAATGACCTATTATCAACGTGTTGTACGTGACAGAATCTGGGACCATCCCCTTCTTTCTCATTTCTTTTATCATCCTTTCGGCTTGTTCCATCTTGTTCTCCATACATAATCCATTGATCAAAACGTTGTAAGTATAAACAGTCAGCGTATTACCCTCTTTCACCATCTCATCCCCATAAGCAAATGCCATTTCCAAATCCCCTTTGTTGATATGCCCATTGATCAAAGTGTTATAGCTAACAACATCTGGATTCAAGCCCATCTCTTTCATCTCCCTAAGCAACTCAGACGCCTCAACAAGTTTTCCTGCTCTACACATACCACCGAGAAGTGAGTTGTAAGTGAACAAATCCGGTTTACAGCCTTTAAATTTCATCTCATTCATAACCATACGAGCCCCGTCGATTCTTCCTCTGAAGCAATATGCCTGAACCAGAGTGTTATAAGAGACAATGCTAGGCTTAATTCCAAGACTCTCCATACACCCTATAAACTCCTTCGCCTTTTTCAATTTCCCTTCCTTGCACAATGTATTAATCATTATATTATAAGTGTACAGGCTCGACTTGATCTCCATCCTAAACATTTCTGCATAGATAACCCACGCAGCCTCTGTCCTGTTCAGCCGTGATAGTAAACTCAGAATCGAATTGCAGGTTTGGATCTTAGGAACAAAACCCTTTCCCTTCATCATGTAGAAGCCCTCAACGGCTTCATCTGCCATTCCCAATTCACAGAAACATTTCACCAAATAGTCCAAAAGAATGGTACTTTTAGTCTTCAATCGATCACGGCAAAGCACCAGTTCATCGAAAATTTCTCTAACACCACCACCAATCTTACTCCTAACTGTTACCTTCAGCAACTGAACTGCAGGCTTCGGTGAAGAGTGCCGAGACACAACAGCGATAGCGAGGCACTGTGTTCGGAAGTCCAGACAGCGGAAGTCGTTGCGGCTGACGAAGTCGAGAGCACGCCCAGGGCTTTTAACGAGACTGAGCAGAGTAGCGGACACATGTGAAGACGTGACCTTGTCGAAAAGCTGTTCGATGAAATTCCCCTGATACGATCTAGCAACATCGGGAGTCGTCGACGCCGGAGGAGGCGCGTAATCCGCCGCGTCGGCGTTGGTGGAGAGGGGCGCAGAAGAGAGAGCTGCGGCGGCGGGCACGTCGGTTCGCCGAAATCGCGACACTCCATGACGAAGCGGCCAGGGGAAAGTGATGGGCTTGAATCGTTCCATTAGATATTGAGAAGGATACGGGGCACAATAGAGGTATGTATGCAGCAGGGCAGGAAGACGAAGCAGCAGCTTGGATCAAAAATGAAAGAGACGACAAGAGTTTATTCGGTTTTGTCTAGTTTGTGTTTTTAGGGCTTTATCGGCCCAACCTCATTACCCAAATTATTTCATTTTATTTTTCTTCGCTTCGTTTTCGTTTCATTTATTTTCAAATTCGAATTTTAAATTTTAAAAAAATTGTTTACTCAGTCAAATACTAAATCATGTGAAAATGTGTAAATATCTGATTTTAGGAATAAAATTGATTTTTTTTTTCTAAGACTTGGCTTAGCATACAACATTAAACACTGCTAACAAATCTGGAGTTGAGTTAGGACCGGAAGCTGAGATCACTTCCTTAGTTAGTATGCGCAATGCTCCAATCACCGATGTCTGATTTACCGATTTTACAATACTTGTCTCTATTCAGATCCAAAACCCGAATCTAAATTCGCGAATACCCACAAATTTAAATTTGAATCCGAATAATAGAATTTTATAAAACATGTATCCAACTAGTTTTGTTACAAACAATTCTACCCTATATTTTGATAATATTTTCATAAAAACAATTGTTTTGAATTGAATGGTTTCTCTTTTCTCAACATTATCTAAAAATCATTAAACTTATTATTATGTATCTCTTTCATCTCCTATTTTTACCGATTCATCCATCTTTATAGTTACATCTTCATTTTTAAAATTTTCTATATAAAAATTATTGTTTTTTATTAAATAAACCTGAATTCGGATACCGGTGACTACCGAACCCAATACTTGTAAGTTGTAACCCAAATATTCGTAACCTCCAAATCCGAGTACAAATCTTAAAATAGGATACACGAATCTTTCGGATACAAATCAAAATACCTCGATTTTCAAGGGTATTCGGTCTGTGCCCATCCCTCCAAATAGAAAGACATAAACTTGGTTATCTCTGTGAATTCGACTCCACGGAAGAAAAAACCATAAACTTGAATTGAATGTGTATGATAAAATTGAAAGAATAACCCGTCATTTGTTCATAAACAAAAGAACATTCCAGCATTCAAAGATTTGATAACAGAAACTTCGTGCTTCATCCAAAGTTTCATATTCCAAACACTCAGGGGGGGCACATGCAATGCAAGGTAAGTAGAAACCATCCAATGCAATAACCAAAAGCATGTTTAGTATTTTCTTTAGGTCAAATGTGTGTATAAGAACACACCAATAATCTGGTTCATCACATAGGAATTAACAACACAGCCATCTGATTTTCTTTGTATATCTCTACGTGGGGAATCATCCATTACTCTACACACTACTCGTGGGTCATATTATATAACTTACCAAAACTTGATACAGTAGAAGGGTCTCCTTCCACTGTTCTCCAAGAATCATCACAACACCAAAATTCTGCAAAAAAAAAAAGGTAACCAGATATCGTGTAAGATTCGTTAAAAACAGAGCTTTTGTTTGTGAGTTCTCTGAAGTTATGTTCAACTTCAGGGTGTTCCTTCTCTTGATGAAACTCTTCATCATTCTACAGCTCATGATTACTTCGTTTAACACATTTAGGGAAGCACATATATTCAATACTGCTACGACCGATGCCGATATAAGTCTGAAATCACTAGCGTCCAACAATTCTACTTGATCAGAACACAACCCAGTTCCCAGCAATAAGGGAAGAAGGCTCCTTCAATGGTGTTACTGTTACCTTCTTCCATAGATCCACCATTGGTACTATCTATTATTATTCATGGTTTACGATCACCACATATTCTAATTTCTACTGACAACATATACAGAAAAGTTTTGATTCTTTCCTTCAATGGCATTATCCTCTTTCAGTGCAGCTACGATCAAAGCTAGTAGAACATTGTGAACAAAACGAATCTAAAAGGCTTAGTCTTCCACTCTAGATCAAACCCCATACAGAAAAAGACTACCCACCGGCTTAATTCGAGCATGAAACAGAACAAAATCAAATCGCCCATCTTTTCGCTCATAACATCCGAGGTCGAAGCAAACAAAGATTACCTCAGGCGACGGCCAAAGGTTGTCGGCTTCGAGGCTCGTTATTCTTCTTCGTGTCGGTACGGAAATCCTCCATATTGTAGATCACAGTGATATAGAGCGAGCAACTAGGGCAAAGAGCGATCTCCTCGCCGAGCCGGAGGTCCTCCTTCGTGATCTGGAACAGATCGCCGCACGGACAAGGATAAGTGTACGCCTGAAGCTCCTCGTTCCACTCCATGTCCTCTATCTCGACATCATCGTACGACATAGCGGCAGCTCTGGAAATCACGTTCGAAGAAAATCGATCCCTTCTTTCTTCCCTCCGGCGACACTAGGGCACATAACAGCAAGAGACCTCTCAAGGTTTTGATTTTCGTGTACATAGTTTGCGTTGATGTAAAGTCGGTTAACTTTTACCGGGTCCCCCCATAATTTATCATTATTCCGTTTATGACCTTAAAGTTTGATTCGAAAACATTATAATTATTGATATATTCAATTTAGACCCCCAAAAGTTTAATTTTGTAATTTTTTTAATCCATTGTTTTTGTTTTTAACAAATTCCAGGCCAAGTTTGGGTACGAATTAGGAATTCGAGTTTTATAAAAGTCGTATAAATTTGATATTCAATTTCGGCCTCATCGACGTTATATCGAGAACCGCATCAAAAAATCTGGAACCATAATATTTTTATAAAACCGAATATAGTCGAAATGAATCAAACCAAATACGAAAAGTTAAAAAAGAAACACAAATTTATTTAAAAATATATATAGTTTTTATATAAAACCGAATGTAATATAAAAATTGACTAGTATGTATATTTTCTAAAATTGAATAATTCCAAATGCATACACAACCAAATCGAATCGAGTATGAAAACGTTTATCCTTACTCGTTACTGTCTGAAACCGATGATCGGGTACCGAATTTGAGACGATAACGATGTTTCAATGTTCTTCTCGACAAAGACCAATATGTATGCAAAACTCGTAGCCAAACAGAGGTCTTCTTCCAATCTCTTTATAGATATAAAAAAACACCAAAAATAAAAAAGAAATCCGACCTGCCGGATTCGAACCAGCGACCTAAGGATTATCTGCATCCACTACAGTCCTCCGCTCTACCAACTGAGCTAAGGTCGGCTGTTGATTCTGAAGGTATCAAATTTTTGTTCTCTTATCCGAACCAACAAGAACAAAAAATTTCCATTTACATTCACAAGACCCAAAATTATACAATAAAGCCTTTACATTCACAAAAACTGAAACTTTATTCACAAACTATTTTTGCCAAAAACCAAAACCAACCAAACGGAAGTTTCCCACATTATCTTACAACAAAATCCACTCCATATTCAAATTACAGAAAAAAAAATCAGATTAAAAGAAACAGCGAAATTTAGGAAATGGTAAAAACAAACATGTGTGATTACAGAGAAGGCGTCTTCATTTCAGCTTTAACGGCAGCAACGAGATGATCATACGCTTTGGACCAAGCTGACGTCATCGGCGGAGTCCACATCTCCGGCACCGCTTCCTTTATCGTTACCTGCAATTAATTAATTAATTTTGTTTTTTTTTTTCAGAGGATTTCAATGGTGAAAAATTACCTCGAAGTGTTCATCAACGACACCGTATCTTGAATGGGTCGCGCCCAGTTTCTTCAACGACACCGTATCTTGAATGGGCAGATGAGATTGGGACACAAAACAGATTTATGACATCTCTTTTTTCTCAGTATATTTACTTTGAAGAAGGAAGTAAGAACAGGACTTTTAGCTTCAACACCAAGAGAGGGAAAAAAGCCCAGATCTTTACACATAAATTGAGCAATGAGATCATAGAAGAGGTTTTTCAACCGTATCCATAAGTTACATCGTGTTTCGCAACGGCTGAATCGAAAGGTAGTTCGACCCTTTCCTTCACGATGCATCGTGCTCCGTCACCTTCCATCACCAGAACTTTCCCGGGCGGGCATTGAACGGGAGATCTCTCTTCTCTTTTCGCTCGTGATAAGATAAATCCGAGGAGGTTCAAAGATTCTCCCCTTTTCCTGATCTCCGGACCATATCCAGATGCAGACAATATAGAAATCACGCCGATGATTGGAAGCACGATCTTTGCAACAGACCCCGCAAAGCGAATGACCCCATTGCACGAGTTTTCAGGTTCTCTGTAAGGGCTGTTCTTCTTCTTCTCCTCCTCCTTGTCTATCACATTGCTCGATATAAGTCCATTTCCGTCAGTTTTCTGCTTTGGATTTAAATGCGGAAGGTAGCCATTATCTGAGACGAGGGTGGCGGGAGGAGGGTGGGTCGGATATGGAGGAAGGAGTAGATCGTTCTCGTGATCTACTCTTGTGTAAGTGTTGTCTTATCCTGCAGGTTCTTCAACAGATAGTGGCTGGGATATTATCTGTGGTTCTCAGGCCACGGGAAGCTCAGTGCCCTCTCGTTCGAACAATTGCTAGAGAGATTGTTACTTGCTTGGTACTTCAACCTCTTTTGAATTTAGTGTGCCCCGAGTAAGTTCTTTGACTATCTCTGTCTTCTAGGTAAACAGTATTTGGTATCAACGTCTAGTTTTTAGGCTTTACCTTGACCCAACTCCCCTTGCATGGGTATATTGCAAGTGTGGATAATAGATTATCCCTCTATATATGGCAGTTGAAAGTTTCTCGAGCAACATCTTCCTGCTGTAATCGATCTCAGAGAGAGCCATTTGCTTCTCGTATTGCTGCCTTTGCCGTAGATTCTGGACATTGAAAACGAAGGCAATACCATGAGAACACACAAAGATATCGCCACTAAATTCTCATCACCGATTAAAGATGATCACATGATTAGAGCAGAGCATCAAAGGCGAAAATCATTTCTCTGAAAACTTGGCATCAGAAATTCCGCTTCAAACTTAGTTTCCCAGAAAGATTACAGATACCAAAAACTTTTCAGGTGGAAAATGTAACAATTCGTTCCAACCCATTCCCAAATTTTGCTCTAGGTATACTGTAAGTTTCTTCAAACCCAGCGGAATTAGATAATCGATTTTACACGGACGAAGAAGAACTGCAACTTTCAGCAGAATTCCCGAGAATCTGAGTTTTCTATGTACAGCAAAATTATCAACAAGAGAGAAGCACCAGAAACAAGCGAAATTTTAGGGTTTTCCAAACCTGCAAAGCAGCAAGCTGAGACTCGAGAGACTCCAAAGCATCGTGTACATGCAAAAGCCGCTCGGCTTCTTCGTCTTCATCCTCCACCACATCCCCGCCGCTTCCTAAATCAGAGTTCTTACCAAAGTTCCCCAAGGCCTGGCCTTCCCTTCCGCCTCCCGGTGAGGAGCTCTCGCCACCAGAATTTCGGCAGTGGCCTTCGCCGTCGGAGGCAGAGGCAGAGGAAGCGTCGTCGATGCAGTCGCCGATCTTGAGCCTAAGCTCAGTGGCTCGGGCGAGAATCAAACCAAGTTAAAAAAAAAACACAAAATTATTTAAGATTTCTGGGGAAATGATTAGGGTTTTTTTTTTTGTATGTATTCAATTGAAAGAGTAATCGGAGGCCTTTTTGGGTTTTGTGTGAGAGAGAGAGAGATGATTGTCGTTTTCCTCTGCTTCGCTCTCCCGTTTAACGGCCACAATCTGCTCATTCTCTCTCTTCATTTGGAATTACGAAAATAACAGAATTGTGTGTATATGTATATATAATATTATTTCACATTCCAATTAGGTTAGGTTTGGATTAAGATTAATCAGGATTAGAACACAACTTAGTGTGATTGCGTTAGTTAATTTTATGCATAAACTGCATTCTTTTAAGCTTTAAATCCACATTTTCATACTAAATCCATACATTTAATTAAAAATTCTGCAAGAAAAAGGGAGAGAACATTTTTTTAAACTAAAAATTCGTGAACTAATAAAATTATTACTTAATCTGTGTTAAAAAGACGTGGCAATAAAATATTAAAAAACATCCAAGATTTTAGAAAAATAAAGCATTCCGGAGATGATGATGAGTGATCAAAATTCAAGGGCCTACTTGAAGAGGAAGCCATGAAAAAGAAACGGAAGCTGAGTATAGAGATAGATAGATAGAGAGAGAGAGAGAGATGTACAGAGAAGAACCCTATAATAAGCATTCCTTTGAACAACGTCCACCAGACAGGATTCCCTCCCAAAACAAAAGCCAGAGTTGGATATATATATAATCCCAAACCAAAAAAGCAAGAGGACGAGGTAGCAGCCTTCTTACCCTTTTCCCCGAATCCGCAGAAAAAATATCGCAACGGGCGAGGGGAGGAATCGGGGCTCAGGTTAGGAGCTATACACATTATTCGGACGGGGAAAAAGGCGTTACCGTGAGGAGAAGGGTAAGCTCAGTTCCGGTCTATGACCTCTGCAGGCAAGTTCAGATCGAGCAAGGCTCCTTTTCTGCTGCCGCCTCCAAAGGTTCCGTCTTTCCGGGCTCGTTTCTTGGAGGAGCAACTGGTTTCTTCCGAGTTCCCCGATCCCGAGGCCCGTTCAATCCTTGAAGTTCCTTCTGCACACACGCCAAAAAAAAACAAAGAGGAAAAAAGATTCATCGGGATCAGTCGAATACCCGAGAAGTCACGTGGTATTCGTCTTTCGGTTAGTACATGTATCCACCAATGCATTATTACTCGAATAAGAGCCTCGACAAGGATTTCTCAACGATAAGTTTTTTTGTGGGGCTACTATGCTATACAGAGTTCATCACACATGATGCTCAGCAGGAGTTTCATATTCCAAACACTCAGGGGGGGCACATGCAATGCAAGGTAAGTAGAAACCATCCAATGCAATAACCAAAAGCATGTTTAGTATTTTCTTTAGGTCACTTGGAATTCCTAGACGTATAAAAGTCGGATGCTCTCTCGATTCCTTTCGAGTTGTAAGGAGCGATATTGTGGATGCCGAGTTGGAGAGAGCCCAGTAATTCGTTCTCGATGCACTCATACCTGCCAAGTAATTCGCTCGTTAACATCAGGATGACGAGTTCGGCATTTAGTTCAAAACTAAAGTGTGAAGACTTACATTTTCTTGCAGAGGGTATCGACCGTGACAGAGAGGTTGATGACTTGGATCCTAATGTCCATGACCTTATCATCCGTGTACCGATCAAATGGCTCTTCCAAGAACTTGGAAAGTTTCTCGACATTAGCCTCAAGCTGTTGCTGCTGATCCTCGAAGAGATTCTGCTTTATTTCCCTCTCCTGAGCCGTCATCTCGTCTTTGAACAGCTCATCTCCGAACATGTAAAACGCAAAAGGGTATGAATACGAAAGAACTCGCCTTGATCGGAATAACCGATTGAGTCCATTGGTAACCCAGCTGAAATCCTTAAGTTTCAACTCCCTCTCTTCTGAAATCGACACTTTTTCAAGGATCGTATCCTTGAGTTTACTCTCTAGCTTGAAGGAATCGGTATGTGCTTTGTATCGGTTATGATAATGCATATACCGATAAAGGTCTCTTTTAGCTCTCTCCATCTGTTTCTCCTTGTCTTCTTGGTACCGGCCGCAACTATGACCTGAGATTCTAGACCAAGTATGATCCCTTCCAGTGGCTCCACCACATAACCAACTGTAAGAAAACAACAACAACCAAACATAAGTACAAACAGTGACAAGCATTGAAAAAGAAAAAGAAAAAGGATTAATGTTTTTTACCAAAATGATTGCCCACAAATACACGTGACGAGATTGCACCCGCCATTCTTCTCAACAGGTTTGACACATTTGGGACACGGCTTCGTGTTAACGGTTATCCAATTAACAGTCTCGGACTCGTCCTGGCATTTCTTTCTCCATTGCTCCCACATCAAACAAGAGCAAGGGGAGTGGGCTTCAGACAAGCAACTGAAACAGAACTGACAACCGCAGGAACATTCTACCTCGCACAACTCGTCATCCTCAACACGTATCGCATTCCCGCAATGCGGAGTGCTCGGACACCACTTTACCTTCTTGTTGTCTTCAATGTACGACTCCAGAAGAAAACGATCAAACTTCTCTGCAAGATCTGGACGGCTTTTACCAACCAATCTCCTGACAACATCTTCATCACAAATGGCATTGCACTTATGAGCCATGCATCTAATCCTTTTGCTCTGACCCTCGTTTATCTTCACACTAAAATGCACTGTCCAACCTAAAAGGGAGATAAATCAAAATAAGCACATGCTTTTGGCATAAGATTCTCTATTCAATGATCAATCTCAAAGCAAGAAACTTTGCCCTTGCAATAAAACTACCAACTCAGAGGGTGATCAACAAAAGAATAAGTCTAATACATTCTTGTAAGAAAATGTAAACTGTAAAACTGAATGAAACAAGTGCTAAGGAAAGGAAATTGAGATAATGAACTCACAGTTATTGCAAAAGCAATGGCCACAGTCCATTCTCGTTATCTGATCACCCAGTGCATCCTCTATGCAGATGTCACAAGTCATTGTTGTCGAAGGAGACAAGGATGAACTGTCCTGTTGATGCTCATGAACAGAGACACCGGCTGCAGCAAACAAGCTACCCTTCCCTTTCTCAACAAGAACTGCAAATAACTTCTCTACATCCCACCGGTAATGAATAAGAAGAGTACGAGCATGGTGCTCCTTAACCGATAATAAATCCATCACCCTTCGAAGATCCTCCCTCTGCACTAGCACACAAAAGATCAACGGGTACAGAATTAAAGTTGATCCGAAGGAAAAGAGGAACATGAACAGCTACTCATTAAGAATAATCTTTTGCCCTTTTACCTGTGCCACCAGAAGTGATTCCTTTGTAATAACCTACAAGACGCAGAGATATGGTTAGGAAAATCCTATTGGAAGTTAAAATGGTTGTAGAGAACACAAAATTGTCCTCTGTATAGTAAATGACGCAGCCAATTTCAATCCTCTTCACAAAATTAGAGCGGTGAAAATGGCACTTTGAGTAGAGATAAACAGCCAAAACAAACAAAAAATTCCAGTGTATCATCCAGAATATGATTATCAGACATTAAAGCAAGAAAACCCTAATTGTCAAAGGAGTAGAAAACACCAATTCTCCAATCTCCAACAAATTCAAACTTTCATATCCTCCATAGACATAAGAATGAAGCTCGATGACTAAGGAATTCTAAAGACAACGCTCATGAGATCGTATCCAGCCCAGATACATAACGAAATCATCCAAGTTCATGAAAAAATTTGAAATTTTTTGCCCTGCCAAAAACCCACATCGAATCCAGGAAACGATACACAATTAAACTAAAAAATTTGCCAAACACATATACAGAACAAGGAAAAACAAACAAAAAAAAGACACGAAAACGTGTATACCTTCGTGGTGGGTTCTCTGGACGATGCTAACAGCAAATCGGAGTCTTCGTTATCCAACCCATTAAGGGACTCTTGATCGGAGGAGTAATAATAATCCTCCTCGCCGCTCAAATAATCACCCATGGATCAAAATTACGGAAGAACGAGCACGATTCAAATACAACAAGAGCGAAATTCAACAAAATCCTCGGGTGCTGCGATGGAAAACGTAAAGACCAACACGAAGGACGTGATCAGACAGATGTGAGATGAAAAACAGTCGGCGAACCTACAAGGAGAGAAGACAGAGAGATCGAGATAGATAGAGAGAGAATCCGGAGAGATCGCTGAGAATTCCGGTGGGAGTTTCGCCGGCGAGTGGACTGGGGAGCTCGAGAGAGACGTATTCTGGGGGGGGGTGAAAAGAAATCGCACAAAGATTCTAACCTCACATTACGCAAAACAAAAAAATGATACGTCGTCGTATTTGTATTTCGAAACGACGCCGTCCTGGTCCCGAAAGAATCGAGACTTGTTTTTTTAATTTCCTTTTTCTTGGTTACCCGAATTTTTATTAAATTATGATTTTTTTTGTTTTCGTAATGAAATTATTATTCGCATTTCCTTTTTTTTTCTTGGTAAAATATTATTAGCATTTCGTTTATGGAAAATATTTTGCCAAGTAAAAAAAAAAGAAAAAATGACATTTTCCTACACGAACTGTTTAGAATGTGATCTTTTCCTACACGAACTTTAAATTTGACAAAAAAACTACACTAAATTATCAAATGTGCCAAATTGATACACGAATTCCCCAATTTAACTGCAATTTCCTACACAATCCGAAAACGGCGTTAAATATCCGTTAACCGATGACGTGTCATACCATGTGGCGTCTGACGTAGCACGCCACATGGAAAATTTTGCCACGTCAACATGCCACGTCAGATTTTTTAAAAAAATACAAAAAAAATCCGAAAAATTGCAAAAAATAGATTAAAAAAACAAATAATCCGAAAAAAATTGAAAAAAAGTAAAAATAAAATAAAAATAAAAAGCAAAAAAATACACATATATATACATATATATTCATATCTATATACAAATACAAATATAAACATATATACTCCTATATATGTATATATACTTATATATATTTTTATTATATATATGTATATATGTATACATATATATACATATATACGTGTATATGTATTTATATATATATATATATATATGTGTATATGTATATATATAAATATACTTGTATGTATGTATATATATTGGTATAAATGCATGTATATATGTGTATATTTTTTATTTGATATATATAGACATATATATACATAGGAGTATTTATGTTTATATTTGTATTTGTCTGTGGATATAAATATATATGTATATATATGTATTTTTTATTTTGTATATATGTATGTATATATATGCATATGTATATATATCTATATATACGTGTATATGTATTTATATATGTGTATGTGTATATATATAAATATATTTATTTGTATGTATATGTATATATATATATATGTATATATATATTTGTATAGATGTTAGTATATATATATATATGTATATGTTTTAATTTGTATATATATAGATATATTTTATATAGGAGTATATATTTTTATATTTGTATTTGTATATAGATATGAATATATATGTAGGAGTATATATATATTTTTTAAACAGGAGTATATATATATTTTTTTAAGTTTTTTCGATTTTTTTCAGATTTTTTTTGGATTTTTTTTAAAATTTGACGTGACATGCTGATATGTCAAAATTTTCTATGTGGCGTACCATGTCAGACGCCACATGGCATGCCACGTCATCAGTTAACGGATATTTAACACCCAATTCGGATTGTGTAGGAAATTACAGTTAAATTGGATAATTCGTATATCAATTTGACATATTTGATAATATGGTATAGTTTTTTGTCAAATTAAAAGTTCGTATAGAAAAAAGTCACATTTTAAACCGTTTTAAACCGTTCGTATAGTAAAATGTCATTTTCTAAAAAAAAAAAAAAAAGGGGTCAAATCAAAACTCATGCTTTCCATTTTGAGGTCAGCAGTGGTTTCTTCACAGATTTGTTGTTGTAGGCATATAACAACGGAAAAAAAAAACAAATATTGGATAATCATATGAATATGATTATAGTTTGTTGGTTTCTTTGTTTTTAACATAATTTCTTTAGGGATCGACTATCGTTTCGGTTCATTTTATTTGGTCACGGTTAAATCGAATTCGGTTATTTTGAGTTTTGAAAATTTGTAACTAAACTGTTATTTGGTTCTAATTGGTTTGGTTCATTCGGTTAGATTATGCCTAATTAAAATTGTAATCAAATATAACTAAATAAAAATTTAGTTCATTTATTATAATAAATAAAAAAAATTTATAATATTGTTGAATAAAAATATTAATTTTTTGTTGTTTAATTATATACCATAATTATAAAGCTATATAAACAATCTCATTATTCTAATTTTTTTAATTATATATAACATATTAATTTATGATGTATGGGTGAATAGTAGATGGAGGATTATCTTTAATCTATCCGCTTACAGTTAATTTGGATTCAATTATAGTTTTCAGATTTGATTATTTTGGATTTTAAAATTTTATAATCGAATCAATCTGTTAGGTTAGGGTCCTTTTAAAGATAATCGAACTATTAAAATCGTAAAATTAACATGTAAATTGTGATTTAAAATTTTAAAAAATAAAATAGTCCTTAAAATCTTTATAAATACCCAACATTGAATTTTTCACAAACCGTCCATTGTCTCTCCGTTAAGACGGTTTAGTAACAGACAGAATCCATCATTAGAAAGAAACTGAAGTGACAAATCGAAAAGTTAACTATTCTATCACATCACTAGCTAACGAATTTATTAAAATAAATAAATAAATAAATACCTGTCTGCATATATACACAATCATACATAAATACATAGGACACGTACTACATATATATAATTAAAAATAAATAAACTTTTTTGACAAAATACATATATAGCCACGTATACAAAATCACGTACATATATATATGCATACACACATAAACATATATATCAGTATATATACATATACACATAAAAATTAATGTCAATATTAGTCCAAAACTTGACCCGAAACCATCCGAAAAATATCATACTTTAAGCCTAAATATATAAGTCTGAAAAATTTTAGATTATCGGATCCAAATTGAATTTTGGATTCCGAAAATATAATTTTTTTAAATAATAAAAAATAAAAAAATAAATTTATAAAGAAATAATTAAACAGATCAGCGCGTCCGAAATCTATAGAACAAAATTTCGGATTTGATTGTTTAGATTTGAAAAAAACCAGATCGAGCCTAATGAGTTATCAAATATAATATTTTCCAAAATTTAGATTTTGATAAAATTAGATTTTAAACAAAATATAATACCAAACAAATTATAAAAAAATTAAAAAAATTAAACAAATATTTAGATTAAAAAATCAAATAATTAGTGTGTGGAGAAAGGAGATCGGACAATGGGCATATAGTTGAATACCTAAAAATTGGCCCGATGGGTGTGTGTGTGTGTATATATATATATATATATAGAAAAATTCCCAAAAATATTTCATTCGCTAGTCTTATTGAGTGATGATGATGCGTGGTCCGGTGGGTTATTGCATAACATTTCAATCCATTTTTTTTTTTATATAAAAAAAAAATTGACTGCTAGTGATTATAATATTTTAACATTGGACCCTTACAACAAAAAAATATGTTCCTAAGTTCCATATATCATTGGCTAAAAATAGGTAATTTTTTATACAAATTACAGTGAAATTCCTTCCGTCAGTCAAAGGTTTGTTTTTATCAGAACTGTCAACTATATATTTCTAAAATCACGGGATAAGAATCTCCTATATATTTACAACTTTTTTTTATTTATTTATTCAAGTGTATAATTATCATATAGATATCGTTATTATTATATTAAAGATATATCGAGTTTTGAATCGAATTATCTCTCGCACTAACACAAACTCTCAACTTTACAATCGATCTAAAAAATTGGTTTATTCCTTTTTTTAGCTCACAAATTACATAAAATATAATTAAAGAAGAAAAATTATGAAAAATCAGAATAAAAAAAATGTAGAAGTCATATACTTTTATCGTTGAGTATTATTAGTAAAAACATAAAAAAAAACAGAATCAGAAAAAATGAGGATACTTTTTCTCGGTGTAAAATTTGGTTAATAACCGAATAACTAAACTAATTCAAATAATATATAATCATAATCAAATTGAATTCAAGATAAAAATCAAATGATTATAATTTATATAGAATCGAAAAAAACAAATTAAATGAAATAAAAAAAATAAAAAATATTTATTATTTTTATCAATAAAAATTAAATACCAACCGAAACCAAACCGATTTTAATATAAAGACCGAGTTACATAATTTTTTTAATGCAAAGTAAACGAACGCGAATACAAAGAGGAAGAAAACTTGAATTGAAATGCCCGCAAACCTAATCGACTTGAAAAGACCGTTCTGCCCCTAAATACGTTGGTTGGTTAGGATTTGCTGCGACGTCGTTTGCCTAAGATTCTGCTCGATAAGGAGGCTTACCATGACGCTCTTTCTATTCTTCGCAAGATGTAGCTCCACAAGATATTTTCATTTTTGGACTGATAATACTCTTCCTAAATGTTTTGATAAAGTTCTATAAAAACTCGGGTCCAAACTCGGATGGATCGGCTCATTCTATTCCTTCACGTGTATATCTTATTTTACATTATTTTACCTTTATTTTTAAAAAAATAAAATCGATTTTTCGAATCGATGTAAAATTTGAATCTAATCCGAAAATTTAAATTTTATTAGATCTATAAATTTAGAACCAAAACCCGATATTTTTCGCATCAACTCGGTTTAGACTCGGCACCAAAATTGGTACCCTACACACAACCGTCAATTGAGTTCTCAACCGGATCATTATTATTCTTCTTCTCCTTGATATTTTTCCAACTCATTTTTTTTGGGAAATATTTATCTTTAGTCTTTTAAAATTTTAAAATTAATACTTTAGTTATTTATAAACACCCAATAGAAACAACTATATATATCGCCATATATTTATGAATAATCATTATTCATCCAATTTTATATATATATATATAATCAGATTTTTTCCCATTAAACGACAAATAAGCGAAATGATCGAGAAACTAAGATTAAGTAACGATCACACGTTGTCTTGGGGCTTAAATTATGAGATCTGTGGAGTGGACCACGTTTTAGTTATGCCAACACCTTTGTCGTCGTTTGACCAATTTTTTTTAGCATATACATATTTCCATTTTCGATTCCAAATTCCAATCCTATTCATTTATATCTGTATTCAGCTACTTTTTTTTAAAAGAAAATTTTAGAAATTTTATATCTATTATTTTTTATATTAGATTGGTTTAGGTTCTGTTTTAATAATAAAAATTATAAATCTTTTTTTAATATATTCGATTATGGTTAGATGTTATTCAATTCGTATTGATTTTATTATACCTAGACGAATCCCTCATTTTCTGTCATTAAACGCTTCCATATATATATATATATATAAAATTTATTATGTTTTATTTTAACAGTGATTCAATGAAGAATCAAGAACTTCATAATTTCAGATTTCAAAAATAAAAAAACAGTTTCATAACTCATGAGAGAAGAGCATTTCAGTTTTCAAAATACGTTTTATATTTTGATGAATTTGTGGTTAAATATTATTATTATTATATTTTTCTGATTAAGGGATTATTAAACGTTTTAAATACGCTTTGATGTTTTTTTATTATTAGATTATAATTATTATTTTACTCTTATCTTTCTCTCTCCTACGGTCTCTCTCTTTTCTTTGGTATCTTCGCTCCCAATAAAAGCTCTTCCCCACGTGATTTGGTCCATACCCATTAATTAGTGTGACATTGGATATATAGATTTCAATAATAATATCTAATCTAATACCAAATAGCCGAATTATAATTTAAAATTAACGAAAATATTATTTTATTTAAATAATCTAATTCGAATACATATAAAAATAGTAAAAACCGAATTAAAATCACTCTAATATAAATTACATTTAAAATTATAATAATAAAACAAGAATTTGTTAAAACCTAAAAATCAAATATTAAAATACATAAAACGCCCAGGGTGTGGGTATTTTTAAAAATTCAATATTTATAAAACGATGGATTTTAAAATATTTTTAAAAATGCTCAAACACGTCCACGTGGTTGGTTGGTCACATTTGTCAAATTATATCAAACAAACAACGAAGCGACCGCAACCAAGAAAAAATATATAAAAACTAATAATAATAAGAAAATATTTTATTTACTTTAACTAAAATTTATATATTGTAGCTTTAGATAAATCCCGCACCATCAGAGTGCGCCATAGTCATCGTCGCTCTCGTTCTCTCTGCACCATGGCTGTAGCATTCCAGTTCTGCCGATTCAACGTGCGACCGGAAGCCTTCGCGCCGGAGAATTATCTTTTCGGATCTGGATCTCTCCGGCGCCGGAGACCTTTATCCGTCCGGTGCTCGGCCGGAGATGAGAACGCCCCTTCGCCGTCGGTGGTGATGGACTCGGATTTCGACGCGAAGACGTTCCGTAAGAACTTGACGCGGAGCGAGAATTACAACCGTAAAGGTTTCGGCCACAAGGAGGAGACTCTCCAGCTCATGAATCAGGAGTACACCAGTACGTCCCTGTAGCTTATTTGTTCTTTCTATTGGAGTGTGAAATTACTTCTTGTTATTCTGTGCTCTGTTTGGTACCCGAGAAAGTAGTGTGGAATCGGGTTTTCTTCGGGTTGATTTGTTGCGAAATGGAGATTCTGATTGTTTATAACTCAATTTCGTCTCTGGAAATCTAAAAGGACATTGAACTAGTAAAATGGAATAAGATTTGTGTTTTAGGGCGCTGATGATGCAGAAAAAGATAAGAGAGACCGAATTATTCTTTGATCCTTCATTTTACCTTTTCATATATATATGTAGGTTTTGCAAATTACTCAAATTCTAAGGATTACTCGACGTTTTATTGAATTTCATCCTTTCCAGTTTTGAAAACTTGGGAAAACTTGATTAATTTGACGATAAAATTAGAAGTTGCTTAGCCAAATAACTATAATGGACCGGTAATCTAAATAAATAGATGAAGACCACAACGTTAGATTCGAATTGACGACATAATAATTTTGATATGAAGAATGATATGGATGAAATTGAATTGAATAACTACTCATAGTTGGATTTTCTTATTGATATATTGTATGAGGTTATTGTATGGGTTTGGGGGAAGGAATAGACTGGAAGGAGATTCATGGTGTTTATTGTGTTTGACGGTTTCAGGTGATATATTACAGACACTGAAAGCAAATGGGTACACACATACCTGGGGAGATGTTACCGTGAAGCTCGCTAAAGCATATGGCTTTTGTTGGGGGGTCGAGCGTGCTGTTCAGATTGCGTATGAAGCGAGAAGGCAGTTCCCGGATGAGAGGATTTGGATTACTAACGAAATCATTCATAACCCGACAGTCAATAAGGTCTGTAGGCCCTTATTACACTGGGAACTCAGATAGTTCACTTATATGTTGGAACTTAGGTTATTATGTTTTGTCTCCTTAAGATATTCATTCACTTTTCATAGCTTTGTTGGCCTGTTGATGTGGTTGAACTTTAAACATTTAGGATTCAGTGATTCACTTTTCATGGTCCTTAGTTATCTTTCTGAAGTTTTACGTAGTTTTTTTTAATGTTCCTTTAAACTATTGTTTTTTATTGCAGAGGTTAGAGGAGATGGACGTTAAAATTATTCCTGTTGAGGAAAGGAAGAAGCAGTTTGATTTAGTGGATAAAGACGATGTCGTGATTCTGCCTGCGTTTGGAGCTGGGGTTGATGAAATGTATGTGTTGAACGATAAGAAGGTTCAAATTGTTGACACGACTTGCCCTTGGGTAACAAAGGTGCGTTCTTGCAGCCGACATCCGGGTTGCACCATTGCGCCATGTTTCATTTTTCCTTCTATATATAGTCGTGGTATTCATACTCTGATTTACCACCAGGGCAGGTTATTAATTTCTTTCCTTTTGACATTTGTAACTATGAAGGTCTGGAACATGGTTGAGAAGCACAAGAAGGGGGAATACACATCAATAATTCATGGTAAATATGATCATGAAGAGACTATTGCGACTTCATCATTTGCAGGAACATACATCATCGTGAAAAACATTGAAGAGGTATGCCTTTCCCACGGGCGCCAAGCTGGTTGTTCTCTCATAAAATTCGTACATGAGTAGCAGAAACTCGATCTTTCACTTATTGTTTCATATGGGATTACTTGTTATCAAGAACAGGCCAAATACGTATGTGATTACATTCTCGGTGGTCAACTCGATGGATCTAGCTCCACGAAAGAGGAATTCATGGAGGTATCAACTTATTCGTGAATCTTCTCTCATTAAACTGAGCTTTTCCCCCCAATTGGTCTAATCCACTGTCTTGGCTTCCTTGTAGAAATTCAAAAACGCTGTTTCTAACGGTTTTGACCCTGACCGAGACCTAATCAAAGTCGGTATTGCAAACCAGACAACAATGCTCAAGAACGAAACAGAAGAGATCGGTTAGTTGCACTACGGTGACAAGACACAACACAACACTCTTCTCTTCTTTTTAGTTCGAGAGAAAAAAAGAAAGAGAGTTGATTCTCATGTTTATTGACCATACAAAACCAAACTACAGGGAAATTGATAGAGAGGACCATGATGCGCAAGCACGGAGTAGAGAACGTTACCAACCATTTCATCAGCTTCAACACAATCTGCGACGCTACACAAGTAACTTTTTCCAACCCTTTGCTACATTCTCTCTTTTTATTTTCCCCGAAACCGCAAAAGCAACGTATAAAACAAGCTTCTGTTTCGTCATTCTGAAGAAAAGTGTTCATCTTCTTTTCTCGTTTCAGGAGCGACAAGATGCGATATACGAGCTGGTGGAGGAGAAGCTCGATCTAATGCTAGTTGTGGGAGGGTGGAATTCAAGCAACACTTCCCACCTTCAAGAAATCACCGAGGCTCGTGGTATCCCTTCTTATTGGATTGACAGCGAGCAACGGATTGGTCCCGGGAACAAAATCGCGTACAAGCTCCACGTGAGTTTTACATATTGTTTCCATCCGTGCAGAAACCCCCCCACCCCCCGAAAAGATCCAATCTTCGAAACCGTCTCTCTCGTTTTTTTCCTTTGCGAATCACACACTGACCGTTTACTCTTTTTATCTGGCAGTACGGAGAGCTGGTCGAGAAGGACAACTTTCTCCCAAAGGGACCGATAACCATTGGTGTAACATCCGGTGCTTCAACTCCGGACAAGGTAAATCACGTTCTTTTCCTTTTGGATTACTTCCGAAAATTTAAGGTATTCGGATCTCTATATATCATAATTTGATACCCGTATTCGTATTTGAAGGTCGAATATATCGGGACCATGAGTACAGACTAAATGTTTGGATGCTCACAAGTATCCAAACCCGAAAAATATTTTAAAAATATTTATAACAAAAAAATGCATAATGCTGGAAAGCGGATCATGTAAAATATTCGGGGTATTTGGATTCGTACCGAAAGATACAACGGTAGATATCGTAGGTATCCATGGTTAACTATTGCGGGTTTTTTGTTATTGGTACCCACACCTATTGGATGGGTAATCAAGAAAAAAAAGAATCGATCAGTACCCGTCAAAGATACGGGTACCGAAGATTGATACCCAATTGGTTCGGGTTTTTTGCTGTCAGCACTGATATTTCAGGACACATCGCAGGTCGTCGAGGATGTTCTGGTGAAGGTTTTTGATATCAAACGCGAAGAATCGTTGCAGTTTGCTTGAACGTAAATATTTGTAATGATGATATAAAAAAAAAAATGGAGTGATGGTTCACTCTAAAAAGATGTCTGTAACTCATAACGTCAGTGTAACCTTTTATACATATACATATATATAATATACCCTCAGTGTATCCCTCATTAGTTAAAGCTAATTATACGGATAAGCTTAATAATACAAATTGTGTAATATATTCTGATTTATTTCGGAAGCAATGATCATCACACGTTTTTGACATTATTAAAGATTCGGAAGGTATCCCATATAATTTCTTCAATTTTCCGTAATGTGCTAAATAAAAACCCTAACTTTGTTTTGATACAAATAATTTAAAACCATATTCCCTTACCACTTCAATTCGACTTACGCTCCGTGTTAAACTTATTTATACCCATTTCCTCTCTCGCGATCATAATTTCATTGTGTGATGTTTATTTACACATTTTTAATTAAACACACCAAGTATGAAAGAAATTTCATAACGCATCCCTTCAAATCATCACAGGAACACTACACCTTTTCTTTGTATGAATCTGATTTTAAAAGTAATATTTTTCTATGCAACAAGGTAACAGGTCCATAACAATGTCCTGAGAATATAATTGCAATTTGTCACAATACTGGTTAAACATTTTTGGTCGATTTAACTCTGCGTATATATATATATATATATATATACACAGAGAAAATCTAATGATGATTTTCCAATCGAACTTACGGTGTTCATCAAACGCGAATCATATCATCCAATTCCCATATGATTACAACATAAACAATATTGATTTTCAACAAAAAACCAATATTGATTGGTATAAGAAGATAGTCGAAAAACCAAGGAGCAAAATTCAAAATTAAATCGGAAATTGGGGGACTCGGTTTAGCCGGAACAGATCGTTCCATACCAGAAATTAAAATAGATAATTTTAAAAAGAAATGTAAGCAGAGTTACTAATAAAACACCTCCGGAGAAAAAAAAAGAGGTGTTATCAGCGAAACTTGCTTCATCATCGATATAGGCCTCCCATGAATCAGATAAGCACCGTCTCCATTTTCAGAGCTCTTAGTCTTACCTGGGATTATGAAGGCCCTTTTCATACATACACACATATATATATATATATAATTTAAATTACACCAAAAAACCCAGAATGAATTCAAATTAAGAAAACAACGAAAAAGAGAGAGAGAGAGAGAGAGAGAGAGAGAGAGAGAACTCAGCGGAAAGATCTGTTTTCGAACTGGCGATTTGGTTTCGAGTGGGGTTTCTTCTCTCATGTGGTGAGTTTATATGGTGGCTGGCTGGCTGCTCCGTGGAAGCCCTAGGTTTTGGCACGGTTATACTGTCGCTTATTTGTGATTTAGGCCCTCATGTTTTTAAGTATATGTATTTCTACCCCTTATCTTTTTGGATGGGCTGATTATAGTATGGGCCCCTCTCTGTACAATGGAGCATCATGTTGGCCCATTTACGGCCCATTTAATACGCACGCGTGGCAAAATTTGCGTTTTATGGAGAGAAAATAGTAATTCGATATTCAACAATTTAATCATGAAAAATAGTAATTCGATATTCAACAATTTCATCATGAAAAATAGTAATTCGATAGTAATTTTCATGATTTTCAACATAAAAAAATTCGAAAGAGCAATATCGATATTCAACAATTCCATCATAATTTAGGAATGGTTTTGGTGATTTATTCTGCGGTTGGGGCGGCAATCGCATGTCGGAGAATAACCACCGAATTTTGGAGATAAATGTGTGTTGATTTTGTAACAGTAGGGTATGAGGAACTCAGCCAATGCATAGCTGCCACGTGGTGGTGCACTCACAAGACCTCTCTCGCTTGACCGGACACAATCTCAGCCGTTGATTCACTCGCTGCGATGGTATGGTCCTATAAAAGCGTCGTCTTCCTTTTCTTCTTCGTTGGCTGTGAACTGCGGTTTTCCTTCCCGGCTATAGCCTATCGACGAGAGGTTTCTCTCTGTGTATACATACACTTATACATGTCTCGCATTACGTGTGCATTGCTTCATTTCCTCTTCTTGTGAGATTGTGCTTATGGAAATTGAGGTCAGGTTGTTGATTATTGTTGAGTTTCTGCTTCTGTTGTCGCGGGCACGTAGAGTGCGAGCTCTGCTTCTCCGATCGCTTTTGAAATCGGTTTTCTTCTCAATTGAGTCTCGTGTAAACATTCCGAGAGTAGGAATAAAAAGAGAGTTGTGTGACGAATTGAGAGGGCTTGACGCCGTAGCGTGATTTTGATCCTATTCGAAGAACTAGGGTTCAAAAAATTTTGATTATAGTTTCGGATTAAGTTTTCTTCCGGTTGTTTGAGTTTAGGGTTTCAGTGCTGATCCTTGATTTGTTATTTTTCCCGTTCGACTCGGTCTTCAGACATCGAATCGTTTCTTTGTTTGTGTTTGGTCCTTAATGTGTGAAATCCATGTGACCATTTTTCGTTTACTTTGAATCATCGTTTCTTCTTTTGTTTCTGAATACGAACGAAACATGTCTGATCATCTTGAGTGATTATGATTTTCGTTAGCTATTGGATCCGACAAGATAACCAGATTTCTGCCTTTGATTGTCGCTAACAGATCGTTGGGAACGAGAGTGAACGGATATAATGGAGATTCGGGATGATGGGTCTGTGACACAAAAGGGGGTGATATTGAATCGCTGTAAGATTCATTTTGTCCTTAGTTCGCCTTAAGAAAACTCTGGATGGTTTCTCAGATGTTTGCATCTTCTCATAGGAAAAATGATGAAAATGTTCTCTGTTCTTTCAGATAATTCGCAATAGGAATTCGATGCATCACTTATGTGTGTGAAAAAAGAATCTAAAAATGAAGTTTCGTGCTCCATTTTTTTTTGTAGATATTCTATTGATTAAACCCATTTTGAATCTTTGCCCCTGATGAAATTCCAGCCTAAACTCCTGTATTGGAATCTTTTCTGAACATATTTTGAAGTCCCCCTAAAACCTAACAAAAGAAACCAAATGAAACAAATCTTGTTTGTCTTACCGTCTGTCTATATCTTTGCCAGCAACGATAGTCTTCTCTCTGGAGGTGATGCTTCCAAAGAGAGTCTCCATCTCCTCCAGAGGCTTCCCTCGTGTCTCCGGCAGAACAGTGAAGAAGAAGAACCATGCCATGAGGGATAGTATGGCAAAGAGTTGAAATGTGCCACTGGTGGTGATGGTGTGCGAAAGGGACAGGAAACTCATGGAGACGATTCCACTGGTCACTCTGTTTAACATCACTCCAATGCTCGCCCCTTGTGCCCTCAGCCTCACCGGAAAAATCTCCGCGCAGTACACCCATGTCACTGGCCCTGCTCCGATAGAGAATGTGGCAACGTACACCATCACGGTGGTCACGCTCAATTTGATTGCCCACCCAACTTGCTTTGATGGTTGTTCCTCAATCACTGAGAGGCACGACCCGAGCGTGACCAAGGACAAGAACATTCCGCCCATACTTACGAGGAGCAATGCCCGACGACCGAACCGGTCGACGAAGCATGTTCCGACGATGATGAAAACTGTCTTAACGACTCCTACCGAGACTGTGGTGAGAAGCTGGTCATGCTTGGATTTCATGCCGGCTCTCGAGAAGATTGTTGGGCTGTACAGAACAATGGCGTCGATCCCAGAGGCTTGTTGGAAGAAGTGAACGCCGAGGCAAGCTACGAGGACATGGCGGACAGCAGGGGTCGGGTTGACGAGGAGTTCCTTCCACACACCTTTTCCATGGCTCTTGTTTTTAGGAACCTCTATGATGTCACCGTGCATATCATCTGGGATCCCGACAGCTCGTTTGATTTCGTCGAGTCTCGAGATGGCTTCGTCTCTGGTGTCGGAGGTTTTCTCGAGGACTTTCATGGCATCGGCTAGTCGTCCCTGGAGAACAAGCCACCTCGGAGACTCGGGTATTGCTAAGACTCCGATGGCGAAAAACGCAGCCGGGATAGCCGCGATCCCGAGCATGAACCTCCATCCGAGATGATCTGGAAGCTTTGCAAAGATATAGTTTGATACATACCCGAGCAGAATACCGATGTTGATGAATATCTGCACAAACCCAAGAATAAACATCCAGGTAAAAAAAAATCAACACTTTTATTTTATTGACGTGAACTTCGTGGAACTTGTCACGTGCCGAGGTCGATTCCTATCTCCACGCACCGAAATCAGAGAAAAAGGCTCGGGATTCATATATTGTTGTCGAGTCTCGTGACATTTACTGAAACCCGAAAGTTTTCTTGTTATGATGTACCTCGGGGAAAGAGCTGAGGAAGCCACGGGAAGAAGCAGGGGAGATCTCGGCAGTGTAGATGGGAACGATAACAATGGTGTAACCAACGCCGATAGCGGTGATGAAGCGACCGACCATCATGCTGGCATAGTTTTTGGCGAAACCCATCAGGACGCCGCCCGAGAAGAAGAAGCATCCGGACAATACAATCGTTAACCTTCTCCCTATCCAATCCGAGGTTCTGCCCGTCACTGCAGAGCCCAAGAGAGAGTAAATGCTCAGAATTCCCATCAGGATTTCTAGCTGAACGTTCGATATTTTCATGTCTTCTTGTATGAAGGTAGCTGCCCCACTCATCACTCCAATATCTGCAAAAAAAAAAAAAAAAAAAAAAAACAGCTTCAGAGACAGGATTTTTTCGATCTTATTACATGTCCGAGGAGTCAGGAACTAAACTGTAGCCGACAAGGATGGAAGACATGGAGGCCAAGATTGCGCAGACAGTGGCATAAATGCTGCGCCTGTGGTCCGGTTGCGGATACAATGCCGCTTCCATTTCCATTGCGTTGAAAGCCATTGTCTTCCTGTTTTTGTTTGGTTTTTCAGATAGGATTCCCCTTAAGGAAGGAGAGGAGATCTTTTGGTAATGTACCTTTTTGTTTTGTTTTTGTTTTTTTTTTTTAATTTTCAAGGGATGTTGTTGAATTCAGATACCGAAAATACTTACCTAAAAATGGGTAATTTGAGTTTAAGAAATTCAGTAACTATTTTTTTTAATTAAAAAAATGTTTTAAAAAAATGAATGATTGGAATGGATTAAGACCATTTGAGAAAACAAGGCTCCCCCGTTCATGGCAATTGAGGATTTTTCTATATACGGGAAGACGTATTTGCTTGTACATGCAAGGAACACGCACACGGGCTGTATATGTACGTATCTATATTTATATTCATGAAAAAAATCTCATAAAAAGAATCCATCTGATTAATTTATACCAATTTAAAACATAAACTGTATTTTCGGAATAATAATATAGTTCCAAACCCCAAGCCGAAATCCAATGGAAACCAGAGAAATCGAAATGGACTGTGGGACGTCTGATATATTGTATAGTTTCATAAGATGCGATGGTTTAGATGAAAACGTCACTCCCCACCAATAGAATCGCTATGAATTTCATTGATCTAACGGTATTAGATTATCGAACATTTCTCTGCTTGCTTTTTTTTTTAAAAAAAAAAAGGGTTCTGCAATTTGATACGTAGGAATTGGTCATGGAGATATTTTTTTTTTGTAATCAAATAAGAGCTCGGAGGTGGGATTCAGCCATTTAATTTGGAATATACACTCCTCTCCCTCCAATCTAAAGATTCGAATTCGGATCAAAATAAAAACTTTGTACCTATTTCACTTATTGAATTACCCAAATTTGAGTTTTGGAAAGATTATTCTTTTGTATATATTAGAGACATCCAATAAACACGCAGATATTGAATATATATATATTTCTTTTTTTTTACAAGGAATCCTGAATTTATATGTTCTATAAAAAACGTTGAACTTGTAAATTCGTTTCCAAATCAAACTGTTCACTACATTGATCGAATATTTCAGTGTTTCTACGAGGCACACAACGAAATAATGTCACGACAATCAGTTGAAGTAATGGTTTAGTTCACATCATCGTCAGAAAAAAAGCTGCCCGCCTCTATATACACACACACACACACACACACACACACACACACACACATATATAGTACTTTTATATGAAACGTTTTGATATATATTTGTGGTTCATAGAAATACTTTTGTGAAGTCCTAATGAGTTGTAACTTTTTTATTATTTTTATTAGGGAACAACCGAAGTAATGCAAAGTATCCAATCACACCCTCAATGGACGGATCCTGTCCTTTTTGCACAAATTTAGAACGCTCTCAGTGCAACAATGTGAGAAACAGCTTACGAGGATAGAGCCAACATGATTCAAAAATCACTTCTATAATTGTGTAACCGCAGTAAATAGGAGCAGGCGAATCTAACACTCACATCTTGTTGCCCTCGGCTGGCTCGTCGCCCCGACATCCACTGTGTCCGGTAAGTATCTGAGATTAAAAAAAAAACCGACCCCGAAAAAAAATGTGATCTAACGACATTACTTTATAAGCTAACCATCGATCTGATGGTTTCCCGGGAGAGAATCAGGATGTGTTAATTAACTTACATCTCTTCGTCTTCCGCATTCTTCGAGGCATCCTTCGAGATACACTGGAAAGCTTGTTCCACATTCATGCCTTCCTTTGCCGAGGTTTCGAAATATGGAATGTTTCCCTTAGAGGCACACCAGGTACGAGCCTTTTTCTCGGATACCTAACACAGTCAAGTTATACTCGGTGAGCGGGGGTGAGTAATTTGGTTAATAATCGAATAACTGAACTGATCTGAACCGAACAATGCAGTGTCGTAACCTACCAGATCCGATATGAAAATCAAATTATTATAATTTCTCTAAAAAAAAAATTGAACCCAAACTTAACAAAACCGAACAAAATGATAAGCAAAAAACCAAAAAATTCTTTGAAAAAAGAGTATTTTTATCGGTACAAACCGAATCCGAACCAAAATAGAACCAAAATGAACCGAATTTAATATAAAAACCAAATGGATATAGTTTTTTTAAAAAAACAGAAATAACCAAATCCCGAATATAACCGAACCGAACACGAATACGAACTCGGAATAGCCACCCCTATCGGTTGAGACATTCGAATTCACTTATTTACATCAAACTAGAAGGTAGAACTTCCGAGAAAACACATACCACTCGGCTGTTCCCACCATCCACATCAATCTTGTTACCGATAACAATGAAAGGGAAATTCTCCGGATCTGATGGGCTAGCCTACAAAAAGGAATTAATCCAGGCGGCAAAAAAAAAAAAAAAGAAGAAGAGAACCAGTTTACATCACATCTCTATGGACAGAACCAATGAGTGTACCTGAATCAGGAATTCCTCTCTCCAGTTGTTGAGATTTTCAAATGACTTCATTGAGTTAACATCATAGACAAGAACACAGCAGTCAGCGCCTCGGTAAAATGCTACTCCAAGACTCTGAAACCTTTCCTGCCCTGCTGTATCCCATATCTAGAATGGCATGTCCGAACAAAGTGTATATTAGGAAAGATAGGCATTCTTGACCTTATGGTCAAGAAGACCGACCAGAATAAGCTATTAGACCAAACAAACAGAAACCCATTTTTTTCCTGGGAGGTATGTGCAAATGAAAGCCAATTTTGGCACTCATCGCCCAGAACTATAAGCTAATGAGAGGCAACACAAGACGTGGATTGAATTCTTTTTATCACTGTCAACCTACTTGTAGAGAAAGTCTGAAAGTATGTAAGACTATATAGTTGATCCAAATAGATCTCAGCAATCAATGCATACTTCAGTCTATAGCTATTCCAGATTGAGACTGAATGGGAAGAGAAGGCGTGGATTAGATCTATACAAAGCTGACATCTGAGAGCATCTATTTTACCATTAAGTGTTAACATTATAAACTCCATCAGTCTCTTCTAACACTAATCTAACTTGACACGAACGTTGCAGTGAAGAACCTGGGAAAATATTCCTTTCTAGAGCCGTCAAAGATTTAACATTCTAGGATAATTTAATAACCATCCTACTGACAAAACCTAACAGCTGGTATAGGTGGAGGGTTGGGGCTATAAGATCCACATATTTTTTTCCAGAGTAAATTAAGACCCCCTTTCATGGCCTTTGGTCAATGTCAGGGCAAGTATCCAACAGATCAGGACAAAAGATTACTGAACCTGTAAGGTGAAAAGCCTATCTTCGATTTGCACTTCCTTGGTCAAGAAATCAGCTCCGATTGTCGCCTTGTATTGATTGCTAAATTTCTTATTTACGTATCTAAAAGCATCATTGTCAAGGCAAAACAAATGCTAGAGATTTTGTGTTCAAGGAAAATAGAAGAAAACAAATTCTTAAAGAGAGATCATATAAATCTATTGGTCATGCCAAGCTTCAGAGATGTTTATATAGATTTACCGGCACTCCAAGGATACTGATTCATCAGCGATGTTTTGCCAACCCTGCAACAAGATCGAGTAAACAATCATATCAACACATTTTGTTTCTGTCACTAGAATTCATGATAAGGTAAATACACTGACTGAAACAGCTCCAATAACGTTCTTGTTCAAACTTTTGATTCCTTCAATCTCTGGACAGGATGAACTGAACTGCGGAAAATCTATGTAAAAAAAGATTCCAAAAACCAGTTTTCCTTCCCATGATCGAACTGACTCACCAGAAAAGGAATCCACAAAGCAAACCTAAACCAATATCCGATAACGAACATGAAGTTCGTTGAATTCCGATCAAATATAATCAAATTCCATGAATTCATTCATACAGACATCACCCAGATCGTCATAATCGTCCAACCTAAAATTATCCAGCAAAATTCAACCTAATCTATTATACGAAACCAAAATCGAGACGAAGAGAGACTAACCCACTATCGCCGAGGATGATGACCTTCAACAGAGTCCTCCTACGCGACGGCATCGTGATTCAGAGATAGAGAGGGGGGAAAACTCGTCGAATTGAATCGACCCGAAGAGTCTGCTGCAGACAGAGAAACAGTTGGTACGAAAACACACGCAAATACATACATGTAAGAAAATCCGAGACGATCCATACACAAAGGACTTGTAACTTTGATCTGAATTCCTCTGCTTCTGCTTCGACAGAGAGCTCAGCGTGTCTTCTCCGAATCTGAGCTTCTTTATCGGAATCGGAGACTTCTGTTCGATTTTCCCCCCACCTGAGCTCGTTTTTCTGGGTGACAGGCTGTGACCAATGTCAGCTCAAAGTCCAATCATTTCGCTTTGTGGCTGTCCCTTGTCATCACCAACTGTTCCCGCGTTTGCCCCCCCCCCCCATTCCTATCTCCACGCACCGAAATCAGAGAAAAAGGCTCGGGATTCATATATTGTTGTCGAGTCTCGTGACATTTCAAATTGTGATGTGTATTGCGCATAATATGGTTTTGATTTTGAAATGCATTGAACATAATATGGATTTATAACGATTTTTTATTCACTTTTAAATATATTATGCGTATTTTTTTGTAAACAACAAATCCCTTATATGAATGTTCTTAATAGAACATCCCAACAAACTGTCAATTTGGATAATAATTGAACGAATTTGAAACAAATGATAAATAATCGGAACCAAATTGAATCTGATATAAACCAATGATTATAACTTTTTTAAAATTTAAAATCTAAAATTGAATTCGAACCGAAAGAAAAAATTAAAAATTTGAAATTGTTTTTGAAAAATGATTATTTTTATCAATGAAATATTGCATGTGGGCATGTTGGTAATTTTCTTGAGTGTGAGATATGACGTGGCGGATTCTGGTTGGATCACAACCTTTGGTGCTGTATACCAAATTTTGATGCGTCGCAGCAGATCCCAGCTCCTCTACTTCTAATTTCTAACCTTTTCGATCCCAGCTTCGGAGTCTCTCGGACAAAGAGAAGGAAAGGCATTCAGATCTTCGAGTGTGTTTTGCATCCGTAGTTAACGGATACAGAGAGTCGGAGATCTGAGTGACGCCATACCTCTCGAGACGATTTCCGGAGGTCAGCCATGGCGCAACCGCTCGTGAAGAAGGACGATGATCACGACGATGAGCGTATGTATTTCCATTTCCGGTTCCGCTCCGCTAGTCTCGCGAATCCCCGTTCTTCGCCTCATTTTGTTTGATATTGGGGTTTCAATGTTTGAATTTCTAGTTACGAGGCGGAGATTGGAATCGTGGATTGTAAATGGATCAGTAGATCTGTAATTTTCTGTGTTCCCTGTTGTTTTCAGGTTTTATTAGATATCTGATTTCTGTCGGTAATGTTATTGAGTTCACTCGGTGGTTTCTACCTTAATTGATCATAGTGCTGAATGGTTGGTGATGATAACTACCGACATTGTTAGTTTCGGTCGATTTAGTTTCGCTATCACTTTAGATCCAGTCCGAATTGCATTCTTAATGATTTCTTTTTCCCCTTTTCAAATTGTCATTTGTTTATTTCTTCTTCTGATGTCCTCGGTTTAGTGGAGTACTCTCCATTCATGGGAATCGAAAAGGGAGCAGTACTTCAAGAAGCAAGAGTCTTCAATGACCCTCAGCTTGATCCCAGAAGATGCTCGCAGGTTATTTCTGCACTCTGCTGTCTTGACGGTTCTTCATCTTTTTTCCTTTTTTGGTATTCTCCCGCGTTAGAAATGATTTGTATGTGTTGCAAATCTCGGAGGATATGATGCAAAACCGGAATGAATGGAAAAGAAGAATTCATGCGGCTGACCCCAAATAAACTTGGGATTAAGGCGATGTTGTTGTTGTTGTTGGTATTCTCCCGCGTTCTGTGAGATTATCTCTCATTGATGGAGTCTCTTAATTTTTGGGTGAAATTTGCAGGTTATCACGAAACTTCTTTATCTGCTTAATCAGGGGGAGACTTTCACAAAGGTCTGTTTTTTTTACAGTTGTATGAATATGAAATGGCTCAACTGAAAATGATATCATTGCCTTTGGAACATTTGATGTTCGAATGAACATTCACTTCATATCACCAAGACACCAACATTGTAGTGTGAATACATTTTATTACTGAAATCATTTGGTTTTCTGATTTCGAATTGGTTCATCTGCAGATTGAAGCCACCGAAGTTTTCTTTGCCGTGACAAAGCTTTTCCAATCAAAAGACACGGGTTTGAGGAGAATGGTCTATTTGATCATAAAGGAGTTATCTCCATCTGCAGATGAGGTTTAGTTTGCTTGCTTGATTTCATATGGAAAAATTCCTGGGATATAGTTTCTGATAAGTTGTTTGCCTTTTGCAATAGGTTATCATTGTAACAAGCTCCCTTATGAAAGACATGAACAGCAAGATCGATATGTATCGAGCAAATGCTATCCGTGTCCTCTGCCGGATTATAGATGGAACCCTTCTCACTCAAATTGAGCGATACTTGAAACAAGCCATTGTTGATAAGAATCCTGTGGTTGCGAGTGCGGCTTTAGTTAGTGGAATTCACCTGCTCCAGGTATTTTCTTGCCTTCAAAAGTATGCTGTTTCGTAGTAGTTAGTCAGGCTGAAACACTTGTAATGTTGTTTGCAGACAAACCCAGAAATAGTTAAAAGATGGAGCAATGAGGTTCAGGAAGCTATCCAATCCAGAGCTGCCCTTGTTCAGTTTCACGCTCTGGCTTTGCTCCATCAGGTATGATAAGTTGTAACACCCTTTTATTCACGATGAGTTTAGGTGATTTTATGGTTTATCTGGAACGTAGCCATTTCCTTCTAACTTTTCACATACATGCCCATGTGGACTGTGGAGATATGAATACATTTTGTTTCATGTTTACGATGTTTGTTCATGGGCCTATGCGGTTCCTGTGGAATCAAAAATCTAGGGCACTTTATGCTGGCCGGACCAATTTTGCTGAGCCTAGAATTTGTTACTCTATCAGGTTGGGTTGGAAACATTGTGGCTAACTTGTAGGGTATAGCGAAGTATACATGAGTAGCTACTTTGATGTTGAAATGTAGAAACCTTTGAACAATATGCCTTTCCTTTTTTTAAGAAGGTATTGAGAACTGGTCTAACAGCCATTTACAATTGTGACTACCAATTTCAGATACGTCAGAATGATAGATTAGCTGTCAGCAAGTTGGTTGTCAGTTTGACCAGAGGATCTGTTCGGTCTCCATTGGCCCAGTGTCTCTTGATACGTTACACCAGTCAGGTGTGGCTGGCACTCTATCATTTGATCATCTAATATGTAGCTGGAAGTATTAAATTTAGTTTCTGTTATTTAGGTTATTCGGGACATGTCCAACCACAGTCAGTCTGGGGAACGTCCATTCTATGATTTTCTTGAGAGTTGTCTGCGCCATAAAGCCGAAATGGTGATCCTTGAGGCTGCCAGGGCGATCACTGAGCTCGATGGCGTGACAAGCCGAGAATTGACTCCGGCAATCACTGTGCTCCAGCTCTTTTTGAGTTCTCCTAAACCAGTATTGAGATTTGCTGCCGTCCGGACTCTGAACAAGGTTTGTGTTATTTTTCTTTTGGCTTCCTCAGAAAAAGTTTAAAGAGAGGAACTTTACAACTATTTTCTTCTCATCTGGACAAAACAGTGAAAGGCCATTACGATTTCTCTAGATGTCATTACCGTTCTCCATGATTGTGAGGACAAAACGATACTTTCACTTTATGCTGAATGTGAGTGTGAATTACACAGGTTGCAATGACTCATCCCATGGCTGTCACCAACTGCAACATCGACATGGAGAGTTTGATTTCAGATCAAAATAGAAGTATCGCTACACTCGCTATCACGACTCTCTTGAAAACAGGGAATGAATCAAGTGTGGAACGGTTGATGAAGCAGATAACAAATTTCATGTCAGATATTGCCGATGAGTTCAAAATTGTAGTTGTGGAAGCCATAAGATCACTGTGTTTGAAATTTCCATTGAAGTACAGATCTCTGTAAGTGAAATTTTAGTTGTGTTGTTTTTCTCTAGTGTTGGCATTCTTTCCTTTGAGATCTTACGGATTAAGTTTCTCTAATTGCATCATGAGGCTTATGAGAAATCTGTGTCATCATTTTTTGTAGGATGAACTTTTTAAGCAACATTCTGAGGGAAGAAGGTGGATTTGAGTACAAAAGGGCCATTGTAGATTCTATCGTAACCGTCATCAGAGATATCCCGGATGCGAAGGAAGGTGGGCTCCTTCATCTTTGTGAGTTCATTGAGGATTGTGAATTCACATATCTTTCAACGCAGGTAAATTCTTTTCTTCATCTTTACCTGGGTTTCCAATTGAAAACTGCTTATGTTTTGGATCTAGGATTCTAAATCTATCTCATTGGCACAGATTCTTCATTTCTTGGGAATTGAAGGGCCTAAGACCTCAGATCCAAACAAATATATACGATATATCTATAACCGTGTGCATCTGGAGAATGCAACTGTCCGAGCTGCTGCTGTTAGCACGCTTGCAAAGTTTGGGTTTGCTGTTGGATCTTTGAAGGTATAGTTAATTTATTCCTTATCTTTAATAATTTGGTTTTCTTTTGTATTTGTCTTTCCTAATTCAGGTTAAGATTGTAATTTGTAATACAAATTATCAATGGGTACTCTACAGCCCCGTATTACTGTATTGTTGAAGCGGTGCATCTATGACAGTGATGACGAGGTATGCTCTTGTTCCATATAGTTCATAAACGTCAGCTTCTCGTCATATGTTGTATCACTGTTCCTGTGTATGTTCATTTCTGTGTCAGTTTGCTTATATGTTTGTGATTAGTATCTGCATTTGTAGAAGCGGTCTCAGCGCAAACACGTGCTCTTGTTGAATGATGCCTTTTTATATGTCACTATTTTTTCTTCAGGTTCGCGATAGGGCTACACTCTTTTTAAGTATACTTGCTGGTGATGGGTCGGTTGATACCGACAAAGATAGCAAACAATTTCTATTCGGTTCTCTGGATGTGCCTCTTATCAATCTGGAAACTAGTCTGAAAAACTATGTAATTTCCCTCTCTTTTCTCCTTTCTCTTCTGCACTGTAAGTCTGTAAGGCATCGGTTATCTCACGAGTTTGATTGAACAGGAGCCTTCCGAAGAACCTTTTGACGTAACTTTGGTGCCTAAGGAGGTAAAATCTCAGCCCCTCACGGAGAAGAAAGCCCATGGCAAGAAGCCCTCTGGTCTCGGTGCCCCACCAGCTGCACCTGCTTCTGGTTCCGATGCCTATGAAAGACTTCTCTCGTCTATTCCAGAGTTCGCTGGCTTCGGCAAACTTTTCAAGGTCCGATTGGCTGGATTTGCTCTTACGCTTTAAATCAATCTTGATTGTTTTAACGTAGACTCTTCTTTCTCGCTTTCTTTCAGTCTTCTTCACCTGTAGAGCTCACGGAATCGGAAACCGAATACGCGGTCAATGTTGTTAAGCATATCTTTGACAGCCACGTCGTGTTTCAGTACAACTGCACAAATACAATACCGGAACAATTGTTGGAGAGGGTAATGAGCATGTGTCAAAATAGAACTTAAATCTTTACCTCTTGTGATGTACTTACAAGTCCTTTATCCCGGCCATCTCTTTTATGCCCATGTTTCGGTTTTTGGTAGGTGACCGTCGTGGTTGATGCTTCGGATGCCGAGGAATTCACCGAAGTAGCGTCCAAGCCACTGAACTCGCTTCCTTACGATTCACCCGGTCAGGCCTACGTGGCATATGAGAAGCCCTCGGGGGTCCCTGCCGTTGGAAAATTCTCCAACACTTTGGCATTCGTTGTCAAGGAGGTACATATACTTCCTTCTCCAGTATTTTGCGTAGTTAACCGAAGATGTGATTCTTAACTCGGAAAGTAATCACTGAACAAAATCGTGCGAACGGTGAATGTTGCGAACAGGTTGACGCGAGCACGGGAGAAGTAGAGGAGGAGGGAGTGGAAGACGAGTACCAACTGGAGGATGTAGAGGTTGTAGCAGCTGATTACATCGTGAAAGTGGGAGTGTCCAATTTCAGGAACGCATGGGAGAACATGGACCCAGAGAACGAGCATGTCGATGAGTATGGACTCGGGCCGAGGGAGAGCTTGAGTGATGCCGTGAAGGCTGTCATCGATCTTCTCGGCATGCAGCCATGCGAGGTAAATCAATTCACTTCAAAACCTTGATGATACATTATGTTAGGAAGAAGAGCTCGTGTTATAGATATTGAATTCGACATAAAAACAGAGTGGTTATGATTTCTCTAAAACCGAAAAAATTAAATCTGAATCGAGTAAAAAAATATAACCGAAGAGAACGAAAATTTCTCTGAAAATTTAATATTTCTATCATCAAAGGCCGAATCCGAACCAAATCGAATTGGATATAAAAACTTATATTGCTTATAGTTGTTCTAAAACCGAGTGTTTTTTGTTTTCTTCTAAACGTGGGGTTGTGGCAGGGGACGGAGGCGGTACCGAGCAATGCGAGGTCGCACACGTGCTTAATGTCGGGAGTGTACATAGGGAACGTGAAAGCGGTAGTGAAGACTCAGTTTGGGATGGACGGCAAGACCAAGGAGATCATGATGAAACTCTCTGTCCGATCCGATGATATCTCCGTTAGCGAGGCCATCCACGAAATCGTCGCCAGCGGCTAAATCTCTCTCTCTCTCTCCAAGTGAGTAATTTTGCTGTATTGGCTTTTTTTTTTTTTTTTTTTTTTTTTTTTTTT